AAGGAGCTAGGTTCCATCACGTACGTGTGTGACTCTGTCCAAGACTGCCTGTGTTCCTCCCCACTTTTCACCCAGCGAACGCCTGCCTACCCCATTCACCAGAGAGACTCGGCAAGGGGTGGTTCTGCAAAGCCAGGGCTGATAGCTGGGGATTCACGATCCTACTGGTATCTTTAATTAAATCACATTTATTTCCCAGAAAGAAAATGTTCTACTTCTTATTTCAAAGAAAAGATGGAATCCTGTCTTTGATTGCCTTTTGATTGATATTTCTCCTTAAGAGGAAAGGCTACAGACAGCACCACAGCAGGAACTGTGAGCTCTGCTCCCAGCAGGCTGGGTGCTTGTCAGGCCCCCGGAATTTAGGAATTTTAGACTGGTCCAACCAGGCTCAGTAGAGCATAGGTAATCAAGTCAGATTTCATGATCAATAGATAAAATAAGACCCTGGCCTTTATACTTTCTGCTTTTACCCGATGTCCATAGGTAGTAATCCTCCCAAAGCAGATTCTTGGAGGTTTTTTTTTTCCATTTAAAAAAAAAGCCAACTTAGTTTGTTCTTTGGCAATGTCACAGATGTATACAATGCATTCTGATTACTCTCTCCCTGACCTTTGCCTACTTCCTTCCAGCTCTGTAAAACCTTCCTGCATCTTCGCTCACCCGTCGGGCTTTGTTTTGGCATACCTCCGAATGATTCGTTGGTCAGGAAGCCTTGGCAAGCCTCCTGTCAATAATTAGATAATGTTGGTTTCTATCAGCGCTATAGTCACAATCACCACCCTCGAGTGGCAAGCTGCCTTCTGGGGAGATGGGGTAAATGAGATGAGGCTCATGTCCTCAGTCTAATGGAGGACATGAGCATACACACAGCTTTCGGTGGGAAAGGCACAGGGACTTCAGGTCACCTCCAGATGACAGTTGTTCATCGATCCAGGTTCATTTCTGCTACTGTGATTAAAGAAAAAAAAAGCCAAAAGCAGCTTAGGGGAGGGAAGGGTTTATCTGGCTCAGTTTCAGGTCAAAGTCATCACTAAAGGGAGTCAGGGCAGGAGCTCAGGCAGCTCGTGTCTTCACATCCACAGTCAAGAGCAGAGAGAAACGAATACACCCTTGTTTGCTTGCTTCTTACACCCAGCCAGCTTTCTCTAGTCTTACATAAGCGAGGGCCCCAAAATAGGGAATGGCGCTGCCTGTAGTGGGCTGGCTCCTCCTCCAATTAGTAATCAAGACGGTCTCTCAGAGACATGTCCCGAGGCCAACCTGAGCTAGACAGTTTGGCTATTGAAACTTTACCCAGGTGACTTTAGATTGTGCCAAGTTGGCAGTTAAAACTAATAGCACCCAACAGTCATACCTCTATAAATAAACCTTTAATGGAGACAGGAACAGGAAGTACAGAAAAGGTCCAGTTCCAGTGGAGACGGACCTCGGGAGAATATGAGGTGTGGGTTAGGCACAGTGGGTCTGGGAAGTCGGCCTGGCCAAGACCAAGTATTTGGGTCAGTCGTGGCAGCAGGTGACCCTGGAGAGGAAGGCAGTGACTAAGTCACAAAGGGTCTCTCTAGGCTGGCTTCCTAGGACACCACAGAAAAGTGTCATGGCCCTTGTTACTTTCCTTGCTCCAAGCGATGGAAAGTTATTGTTTGATAATTTAGAGGCTGGAAACCTCAGACCAAGGTGAGCATGAGACGGGGCTTCCTCGTGCTCATCTCAGCAGCCCTGGCACATCCCTGGCTGTTAGAAGCTTCACCCCAGCTCTGCCTCCATGTAGTCTCCCGCTGAGCAGGTCCAGCTTGGGTTGAAGTTTCCCTCTTTATAAGAAAACAGCCCTACCAGAGAAGGACTGTAGTGGCTTCATGTCTGTTCTTACCTGCCCCAACAGATAAAATATCCCTGTTTCCACCACCTTCTGTTGTGAGAAAAGAGACAGCTTTGTGGGAAGTGTCTCAGAAGAATGCGAGGGACTCCCAGCCCTGAGGGACTTATGAGCCCTGGGCTTTCACTCTGATGACTCTTGAAAAAGAGAGTAATATGACCAAAGTGAGAATATCCCTCTCATGTTTAAAAATGTGTGTGTGTGTGTGCGCGCGGAGCTGCCCTTAAGATATAAATCCTATGGTTGCAAGAAGCCCTCACCATCCAGGACCTGGTCTTGCCTGCAGCGGGGCAGGACACAGATGTAATCGGCACATCTCCTCGGAGGCTACAGGAAGCAGAAGCGTGTTTTTAAAAAAACGAAGATTCAGTAGTTTTGAAGAAGTAAAAGCAAAGAGCAAGGGAAATAGGCATGAGTAGGAGATGACAAAGCCACACAGGGCGGTATGCCTCAGATTCTTGTGTGCCCCCAATCACCCTCAGTTTAGGATCTCATGTCGAGTAGGTTCTGATCTGCAAGAGAGGGTGGACCGGGGGTTCTGGTAGCCCCCCTTTTTCCCAAAATATGACACTTGGATCTGAGGCAAGCTTACGTTGTAAGCTAAGAGGTTTTTCTTAAAGATTTTATTTTTTACTTTGTTTTATGTGTGTGAAGGTTTTGCTTGTGTGTATGAATGTGCATCACATGTGTGATTGGTGCCCACAGAGGTCAGAAGAGGGAATTAGATCCTCCAGCACTGAAGTTACAGGAGGCTGGGAGCCACCCTGTGAGTGCTGAGAACTGAGTCTGGGTGAGTGCTCCTGGCCCAGAGCTCCAAGCGCTTCCCATTTGGTCGTGAGCCTCAGCTTGCCACAGCCAGCAGGGGGCAGCAGAGATCTAGGCACACGGTAGTAAGGCAGCTTTCAGTGGCCGCAGGGGAACTATGAAAGGTGGAGGCCAGGCTGGGAGTTAGCAGAGGGTTTGAGAGAAGAGCGTGAGGTTGGAATGCCTGGGGAAGTAACCCACAGAAACAAGGTGCAGCCCAGGACTCCAGGCAATAAGAACCTAGGTGGAAAGGGCAAGCAAGGGTTGTACGGCGTGGAGGAGCCCCGAGAGATGAGAACACTGAGACACCACGTGGGGTTTGTGACTTAGGCTTTGAGTGACAGAAGATAGCATCAGATTTGGGGGTGCGGGGGTGGAGAACAGTGGCCTTGGGGGTTGTGCCTCAGGGCCAGGTGTTACAGATGTCTAAGGGTGAGAGGGAGTAAGGGAAGGTAAATGGGCCGTGAAGTGGGTGCTCAGAGCTCACTGTCCATTGTGTCTCTGCCCTGGGGTCCTGACGGATCTGCAGTGCTGTCAGGTCTTGTCTCCCTTTCTTCCCCCTTCCTTGTTTTCCTCGGACTCAGTGCCTTCCATCACCGGGCGGTGACGCCGTCTCTCCCTCATTGCCTGCCCAGACGTTGCCGCCAAGGCAGCTCTCGTAGGTGAGGGACTCTGGTTTTACTAGCCTGGCATCCAGCCTTTGGGAGAAGGGCCACTTAGTACACCAGCAAGTGGGGATGCTCCCAGCTTGCTTCCCGTTATGGAGCCCAAAAATATACAGAGCAAGGAGACTTTGGGGCTGGGGTATGACCTTGGGTCTGAGCCCTCACACTAAGAAAATCAGGGGCGGTGGTGCACACCTATGAGCACAGCCTGGAGGTAGAAACACCAGGATTTGAAGTTCAAAGGCCTCCTCCGACTGTGTAGTGAGATCAGGGCTAGCCTGGGCTACATGAGACCCTGTCTCAAAACAAGACAAAAATCCCTTAGATATGATTTTAAGGGTTCCTGCTCCTTCTGGGCAAGCCTGACTAAGGACCCGGAACTGGGGCTACATCCTGCTTTGATATCAGGACTTAACTCTAGATGCTGTCTGTCTGTCCTGGAGGTCCCCTTGCCTATCCTGGCATTCTCAACATCCCACTCGGTCAGTGTGTCCTTAAGTAGCACCGCTACCCAAATCTGTGATATGAATTAAAATCTTCCAAACAACACAAGCGCCATCTTGTCCTCCCAGAGCCAGGGCCTGGTGAGTGGTGCTGTGTGGAGGCTTTCAAGGTCTTGAGCCGAAAGTCCACTACCACGGTGCAGCCCAGCCACGCTCATGCTGGTAGCCAAGAACCACTGTGGTCCCCGGACTGCGGACCGGCAGAATTTTCTTTTGGAGAGTTAGTACATCAAGAAGCAAAAAAAGGCTACTGTGGCAGGTGCAGTCTGATTTAGGAAACTATTAGTCACTGTGATTCAGACGTAAGGAGATTACATTTTTAAAGGGATTACCTTAAGTCTTCATCACAAGGGGCCCTCTGAGGGATACATTCAATTATTCGTGTTCCCTGGGGGAAGGAACTGGGGAACTTGGGGATTGTTTCAAATTTCCAAGATTTACAAAATCTAATTCAACGTTAACTTCTAATAGAAGCAGTCATTCCCAGATCCGACGGCTTGTGGTGCGTGTGTGTGTGTGTGTGTGTGTGTGTGTGTGTGTGTGTGTGGCGGGGCTATAAACAAGACAGTGATTGTCCAGTAGATGGAAAGCTGCACAGTAATCCCCACCATCTATATTTTCATGTTTATTCTTTTATTTTCTGGGTATGGGTGTTCAGTCTGTGTTCCACATGCGTGCCCACAGAGGCCAGAAGAGGGCACTGAAGCCCCTGGAATTGGAGTTACCAATGGTTGGGGGTTGCCATGTGGGCCTGGGAATCAAATCTGGTTCCCCTGGAAGATTAGTCAGTGCTCCTTCCACCCCGACATTTATAGAGACAAACAGAGCGAGCATGTGTGCACATTCATGACTGGGCCAGGCACACGGGTAGAGATCAGAAAACAACTTGCAGGACTCTAGCTCTCCCTGCGGCATGCGGACCTGGGGGCTGAAGCTCAGCTTGGCAGGTTTGGTGGCGAGTGCCTTCACCTGCTGAGCCACGTCACCCGTCCTTCACGATCTGACTTTGGAGCATTTCTGTCACCCCAAAGGATCTCTTTTTTATAAGAAGACGTGATGTTAAAGTAATCTGAATACATGGATCCCTGTGTTTGCGTCCAGTACAGTATATTCACAGTATTGACTGACCTTGACTTGTTCCTCCCCCAGGCAAACGGGAGACCGCTGGGGCGAAGCTACTGCAATCTTATCAGAGGCTGAGGTGAGTGTGGGAGGACAGAGCGTTCCATGTCAGCAGGAGCTCAGAGGACACCCTGAAAGAGCTTACATACCCCGGCCTTCTGAGGTCACTGCTCTGAGACGCAGCTTTTTCAATTATAAAGCTCCTGGAAAAGGTTGAAAGAAACTTGGAGGTTTTCATAAGGAACCTTCTAGCTATCCCATTTTTACTCACAACATTTTTTCCCCTCAAATTCTTCTGAGATGCTGCAAAGAATGAAGTATGGTTTTGACTGTGTGTCTGATGACACTCTGCACCAAGCAGCTGCTTCTAGTTCCCTTCTTCCTCTGGCATCTTCTCTGGTGCCAGGCATATACCTAATATGTTTGTGGAATTAAAAAAAAAAAAAAAAAACAAACAACAACAACACCCACCCATTGGCTGTTGCTTGCAGCCTTGAAGTAGCTGGAGTCACCCCCCACCCCCCATCTCCTGAGTTTAGAGACCATCGCTGAGAGTTCCCATGGGTGCTACATTTTTTGGCTTATGGTGAAATGTATCCAATCTCAAAACTTAGAACCTCTTCCTCCTGCTGCTCCTCCTCCTCCTCTTCCTGCTCCTTCATCTCTCCCCTCCTCCCTTCTCTCCCTTTAACCTCCCTCCCCTCCCTTTCTCCTCTTCCTCCTCCTTGCCTAGGGTCTTGCCATGTGGCCTATGGTTTGGTCATCACTATTTAGTCCAGGCTGGCCCTGAAGTCCTGACAGTCTTCCTGCTGCAGCCTACCAGCACTGAGATTACAGGGTCGGGACCACATCCACTTGTTACTTTTCTTGTTTTCCCTGCCCCCATTTGTTCTTACCTCTTTTAGCTCATGCTCCCAGTATTTCTCAAAGTATTTAATTTTTTGGTTTTTCCTTTGGCTCTTCTGCTGGTGTGGTTCGCACTAAGAATGCAAGAGTCTGAATAGGATTCCACATATGAAGTCTGGGTTCAAGAACAGTTCAGTGGGGGTGCCAAGGTACCCTCGTGGCTTCAGAATGTGCTGGAGAACTCAGTGAATGACTAGACTGCAGACAGTGACAGGCTCATGTCCATACCCAGACCCCAGCACACAGGGAAGCGAGATCAAGCAGTCCTGCTGCTGCATTTCCTTCCTTCCTTCCTTCCTTCCTTCCTTCCTTCCTTCCTTCCTTCCTTCCTTCCTTTCTTTCTTTCTTTCTTCCTTTTTCTTTTTTGGTTTTTTGAGACAAGGTTTCTCTGTGTAGCCCTAGCTATCCTGGAACTCACGTTGTAGACCAGGCTGGCCTCGAACTCACACAGATCCACCTGCCTCTGCCTCCCTGAGTGCTGGGATTAAAGATGGGCACCACCACCACTCAGCTGGCATTTCCGTTAAAAGGAAACTTGATAGAAACAAAGCTAGAGCTTGAATGATTAGTGCACACATGAGGAGTTCTAACCCATTACTCTTGTGTTTCTCCTTGGCAGCAAAATCTCTGTGGTTCCTCCAACGCCACCACCTCTCAGTGAGAGCCAGTGCAGCCGCAGCCCCAGCAGGGTAACTTATTGGTCCAAGGGTCCCTGGGTGGGGGGCAGGGCAGGAAGGCTGGAGATGGATGCTGCTGATGCTGATGCTGGAGAGTTAGCCCAACAGCCTTGGAGCATGCATATCTGACTTAGCTAGAGACGAAGGTGGAAAAGCAATTTCCTTTTCATTTTGTGGCCAGGGACCATCTGCAGTCACTGCTGGCTCCTTCTGCTTCTGCCCTGAGACATCTTGTCCTGAGTCTTGTCGCCAGCTTTCATCTCCAACTCTCAACTGTGCTTTCAAATGTGTGTGGGTCTGGCATGTGTGTAGGGCAGGTTGTGTGTGTGTGTGTGTGTGTGTGTGTGTGTGTGGTGTGCCCGAGAGATGAGAACTGTATCTCAGTCTTTGCAGGCTCTAGGGGGACCAGAACCATTTATGTCCAAAGAATGTAGCTGCATGAAGTGGAAATAACTCTTTGTCTGACCTGTGTCCAGGTCACAGGATAGTGTCTGGGTGCACTTGGAAACTGAAGTGCTGTGAAATTGCATGGCTTTGATTATCTTCATCAATCCATGTGTTAGAGGGAACAGCTGTGTCTTACATGGATATAATGCCATGTCTGTTTGAGAGACAAAAGCATGTTCATTCTTTTTCAAGTTCCCAGACACCCTGGAGTGAAGCTTACAATCCAATTCTGTTTTCTCCTGTGACTGTTCTGAGAACATGTTTTGGGGGAATGGATGGACACTGGAAGGGTAGATAAATGGACTGTTGGGTGGGTAGATAGTTGTATGGGTTGATGGATGAAAGCAAATGAGTGGATAGTGAGAAGGTGACCAAATCGGTAGTCAGTGAGTGTGTAGATGGACAGATGGTCTCTGGATGGATGGATGGATGGATGGAGTGGTGGGTGAGTGGATGGTACATAGAATGTTGAGGAGGCAGTGGATAGACAAGTGGAAACTGGATGGATGGGTGGGTGGATGGCTAGATTGATGGTCGTTGGATGGATGAATGGATGGATAGGTAGATAGGGGGATAGATAAATGGGTAGGTAGGTAGGTGATACATAGATAGACCTAGACAAAGTTACTGTTTTCCCCTTTTCTGCGTTCTCTTTTGGGAGTGAGAGCTCTTTGTTTCCCTAATACCTCCAACCCCCATGTCACCTGCATTCTGTTCCTTCTATACAAGGTTTGGGCAGGGCTAGAAGAGAAAGGAGGTCAAACAAGCAGTAATTAACTGAGTACCATCTTTGAGCCAGTGAAAAGTCAGTCATTATGTCTAGGGGGTAGTTATCTTGTGAACTCCTTTAATGAGGCTGCAAAACCCAGAGAGTGATGGTTGAGTGCCAGGGATGCCTACTTCCTGGGGGCTGTGCCCTATCCCCTAGACACACCCACACACTTTCCCACCCCTTCTCGCCTGCAGGGTTTAGAGACTGGCAGCCTGGAGACATGGGGGAAAGAGGGGTGGCAATCTAACAGTGCACTCTCCCGTTTCTGTTTTAGTTACAGGAACTCGGTCACTTTAAAGGATTTAATAAGTCCTTGGAAAACTTGTTTCTATCTGTCACTACCCAGATGAAAAGTAAGTGACACTTGGGATGTGTTCTTCTACCCTGCCCTGTAGAGACCAGCCCAGGCAGCCTCAGATGGGAAAGCCGTGGGTCAATGGTGCAGCCTCCACCTCCTTGTGGAGGGCAGGCGCCATTTCACTCTATCAGCCTCACCCTGACTCCTGCTTGTCTTGCCCAAACCTCAGCTCAGCAGCACAAAGGATTCCAGAGAAATGAAAATGTGACACACACACAAAAAAATTCGCAATGAATCCAAAACCAGGGCCTTTCTAGCTGGCTGAACCCAGTGTCTGCTACTTGTCCATTCTTCTCACTGGTAAACTTTTCCGCGGGTGGTAGAATCCCCCAGCTGTGGTGCAGTTAACCCGGGCCTGCCGTCGCTTGGCACGCCATCTCTGTCAGTGGTTCTTCTCTTCAGATCTGCTTTCACCTGTTTCTGTTTCTCGTGCTCTGTGCAGTGTTAGCGTTGGTCCAAATGGACTTTGGGCGCACATTTCTCTCTCTCTCTCTCTCTCTCTCTCTCTCTCTCTCTCTTCTTTTATCTTCCATTTGCTGCCATCTTTCTGTAGTTGCCTGTGGATAGTCTCCTTGTTGTTGACTCTGAGCCAAACTCTACAATTTAAATTAGTTGTCTGTATTCCACACAAGCTCTTCTCCACAGACAGCTGAAATGAGAGCCCTGCTCTTCAGATAAGCAGTGGGCTGTCCTGGGTCTCTTTCAGGAGGAGGAGGAGGAAATCACTGAATCTCATGAGCCTATTTTCCCCTCTTTGGACAGGAGCCCGGCTGTGACAGCTGTCTATTCGCCACATGGCTGGTGCTGGTCCCATGGCAGCCTCTAAATGAGACCCCTGCCCAGGTCCATGTGGCTTACGTGATTTCTCTATCAATGCAAAAGCACAGCTCTTAAGGATATAAGAGATAGTTTGTTCCAGAGCCAAAGATGAGTGGTCCAGGTTACCCCAAACACTACAATCAGATGTGGTAAAAGTTTATGAAAATATGTAGTAACAACACAAGGAAAGTCATAAGTCGAAAACACTGCAAATGTTGGTGGGAACATAGACAGGTGGGTGGTGGCAAAGTGGGGAATCTCTGTTATAGGCCTCACGCGTTATCTGATGGTGTTCTCAGCCTTTGGGTCAATGGAAGCTGGGAAAGGATTTACCTAACAGCCACAAGGATGAACGTTAGATCACATGTAGAGGTTGGCGTTAAATGTCTATCAAGGGTACCAAAGAGAGCCTAACATAATTTGGCTCTGAACCTGCAGTGTTCAAACTCTGAACAATCACAGACTAATTGCAATTAGCCACTGGGGCTCATACGGTCTTTAACGTAGGCAAGACTTCTCTCTGGACATTCTAGTTCACACCCCTCAGGCCAAGACTGCTATGGAATCAGCACCTCAGAATTAATCCCAACACCGAGATCCCTCAGTCACTATAATCCCAAGAGGCTGCACACCCATGTCACATCACACTCGCCCTCCAGGCAAGGGTAGCTCTAAGTGCAGAAGTGAACCTGATGTCATCTTGTCTACACGCCTGCCCTGACACCTGACACTTGTCTGGGTAGACAGCGTGAGCTGACCTTCGGATGGGGTGACGGCCCCACCTGTCCTCAGAGAAGGGAAGTCAAGGGCAGCCCGCAGCCTCTGTCCTTGGCCTGCCATCAGCTGTAGACTAGGACAGCCACAGCCACCTGTCTGCGCCCTGGGAATGGACAGCTAGCATTTGCTGAGCTGATTCCCATGTCCTCGTTTTGATTCTCTGTGTGTGTTCGTCGTTCTGTTTTCCTGCAGAAGCAGGTACAGAGGAGAGCCCAGCCTTAGAGGGGGGAACGTGGACAGGACAGCTGTTTGCTCCTTTCACATTAGTGCCTGGGGTCCCCAGGGGCAGGCTTGCAAAGGGCCTGGAGCCATTTGAGGACCAGTGGCCCAGGATGCCAAAGCTGGTTTGGAACCGCAGGGCTTGAGAAGAACTATCCAGAGTGGACATCCACGGCAGCTGGAAGAAACCAGAGATTCTGTTCATTTGTTCGTTCATTTGTTTTTTTGAGACAGGGTTTCTCTGTGTAGCCTTGGCTGTTCCTGGACTCGCTTTTGTAGACCAGGCTAGCCTTGAGCTCAGAGATTCACCTCCTTCTGGACCCCTTCAGCGGAGGGGTTGATTCTTCCCTGGGAGCAATTTGTTTTTCTTTCTGCTCCTTCACCCTCCCCCCACCCCTATTCAACCAATCATACTGACATAGAACCTACTTATCAGAACCCCGAACTTCTCAGAGTTTCCTCTACCTTGAAATGGACCAAATAGGCACAGCCCAGGCTAGTGTGTACAGACTGATGGCAAACAATTTCTCCCAGTGACCAGATTTGACAATCTTTTGTTCCTTTCACATTCAAGCTGCTAAGGTGGCTGTCATCAAGGATCTCCACCATATGCCAGCTTTTTCCGGTTGCTGGTATCAACTGATGCCCCCTCCCCCGTGCACACACACAAGATATTTCTGGATAGACTTGAGAATGTTGGGGTGGCGTGGCTCCCAGAGAAAAGCTAGAAAGTAAGGTTGGCAAACTGAGTGCTCCGGGCTTGGGAAGCGGGTCTAGGACAGCCGCAGGCTGGGAAGCCTGGGATCTTCCCAATGATATCTCCATGTGTGTACCAGAAGGCTGACCCAGCACACATGCTGCTCGTGTGATCCGGGGGGGGGGGGGGTGCTGCAAGGCCCGTAGCTGGGAGTGAGCTATACCTTAGGCTTCAGAGACATGGTGTAGTTGGTAAATGATCTCACGAGTAATTTTAATATTCATGAGCTATCTTAATAAGCTGAATGTTAAATGTGGAGTTAAAAATTAATGTCACCTGTTCTTAGTGTTAAGGGAAAATATTTAGAAGGTAATTCAGATTTCATCTTTAGAGAACACGGCTATAAAGATGGTTGAGGGGCCTTTCACTGGCATGGGGTTCCCTTCCTCATACTTTGTTCATAGTCATTTTAATGTGTGTCCCAAGACAACTCCTCATTCAGCATAGACCACAGAAGCCAAAAGCCTGGACACGATTATCATACTGAGATCCAAAGTTTAAGTGATTTTTTTCTTCCAGGGCATCATAAAACAACTATTAGACCACTTCAAATCTTACTCCCTTCCAGTAGTCACAAGAGAAAGCAGTTTGTCAGCAGTCTGTCAGGAACACCTAGAAGGCAAGCTGCTTATGTCTGGACAGGTGGTTTATCATACAGATGGCCTGGAAAGCTGGGGGGTCCCTTTCCACAGTGACCGCTCACAGAGCACGGGACAGTGAGGACTCCGAAGGCTCCGGCCTTTCCTCTTCCTGCCTCAGCACAGTGTCTGGTCATCCTGGTGTCCTTTGTTCGGCTGTGGGCCTGCCGCCCTTGCCTGGCCATCTTTCCCTGCTTTTCTGGGCCCTAGGATTTGTGGCTGGTGGGGACTCCAGAGGAGGGCTCCCTCGAGTCTTTGCAAAGCTTTGTGCTCCCGACTGTCATCCCTTGTCTTCTAGAGCTCTCCAAGTCCCAGAATGACATGACCTCCGAGAAGCATCTTCTCGCCATGGACCCCAGGCAGTGTGTGGGCCACACAGAGAGGCGGAGCCAGTCAGACACTGCTGTCAACGTCACCTTCAGGGTATGCACTGAGGTCTACCGGTCTCGGCCCTGACCACCTTCATGTCCTCTTTCCTGAGTTTTCTGGCTTGTTTTCCTCTGCATTTACTTTTCTTTTTATAGAAAACGTCAGTCAGCCAGGAAAACCTGATTCTACATAGTCTGTTTGGGGGTACACCTGAGCAAAGGAGGCACAGAGTTTGAGATCCAAGCCAGGGGGCTCAGAGGTTAAGAGCACTGACTGTACTTCCAAAGGTCCTGAGTTCAATTCCCAGCAACCACATGGTGGCTCACAACCATCTATAATGAGATCTGGTGCCCTCTTCTGGCATTCAGGTGTATATGCAGGCAGAGTACTGTATACATAATAAATAAAATCTTTAAAAAAAGAAAGATCCAAGCCAGAAGCGATAGCTTGTGCCTGTATTCCTGTATTCCTCGTTATTTGGGAGGTTGAGGCAAGAGGCTTGCCTGAATCAAGGAGTTGGGAGCCAACCTCAGAAACAATCTGAGACTCTCCTTCCCTGATGAGAGAGAGAGAGAGACTAATAACGATTCAAAATCACCATGGAGATTTTTTCTATCAGGGGCAGGCTTTAACCTGATCCCTTTGGGAACTTTAAGCAGCTCCCAAGGCTGCTTGTCTTTGGCTCACTGGCCATTTTCTGGGTCTGCAAGTTTCCCCTCATGATCAGGAGGCCTTCCTATGTCCATTCAAGGCAAAGACTCTGCCTGGGCCCCTGGTGGAAAATGAAAAACATAAACTCTACACAAGTGTGGGCAAACAGGAGGGGGGCTCCTGCTGGGTGATCTAAGGCAAGAAAGCTCACCACTGGGGAAGAGGAGCTGTTAGGGAAGCCATCACTCTGCTTTCTACCTCGTGGGTTATGTCAAAAGCAGGGGCCTGGACTCCAGAGAGTACTAGGTTTGGAGTCGATACCAGGGTTCCAATCCAACCCAGGTGGCCTGGCTGGCAGGGCAGTGCCTGTTGTTTGCAAGCCAATGTGGCTGCCTGTTGAGCCCTGCAGGACCTATGTCCCTCCTCTGTGACTGTGGGCTCCATCCATGGTGCCCCAGACTGTCTGTTTTTTGAGATGATGGTGAGCTTAAGCTACTTTCCTTCTGGAACAGGCTCTACAGCGGTGGTTCTCAACCTATGAGTCTCAGCCCCTTTAGCAAACCTCTACCTCTAAAAATATTTATATTACGATTCATAACAGTAGCAAAATTACAGTTATGGAGTCACAACGAAAACAAGCTTATGGTGGGGGGTCAACACAGCACAAGGAACTGAAAAGGGTCACAGCATTAGGAGGGTTGAGAACCCCTGCTCTAGAGATTTCAGGCCCTGCCTCCATCTGCTGCCCTTCACCTGAGCCCAGGATGTCCCTTGGTAAGACGAAAACAGTAGGAGTCTCTGTTTGCCCAGCGTGGAGTTCCTGTATGCAGCCAGCGAGACAATGCAGCCTCTACTTTGCTAAGTCCCCTGATAGAATCTCTAAACTTCAGCATTTGTTATGATGTGCTAGACGCTGAATGTACACAGAGCTTTTCATGGGCTGCCAATCCTACAAAATGGGTATTAAATGTAGTTCTGTTTTACACTGAGAGACACGAAGGCTTAGGTTAGGGCCGGTGCCCACAGTTTCACAGTGGAGGTGGGAATGCTGTGTTTGAACTGGTCTCGTCTGAGCTCTGGAGTAACTGCTCCGGCTGTGCGCTGTGGCTGGAGGAGAGCCCCCAGGCTCTTCAAATGCAGACTCCCACATCATGGAGTCCTCACTGGGTATGAGCTTCAGAGGCTCCGAGGCATCTCTGCTGAGCCTCTGGGCGATAAGGAGCTGCCAGAGCTGGTGGTTTTCCAATGACTTGTGTCTCAAGGTTGAGATTTACTCTTCAGGCCTTTTGAAGTTCCTAAGTGCAAACAAGTATCAGCTCACAGTGTCTTCCCTGGATCCAAACCCTTCTCTTCAGGGGGATAGGTGGAAGCTAGTGTAAGGTCCATTTCCAAAGTACTTTGTCCTGGGCAGATGGTACCTTAGCTGCTACGTTATCGGAGACGATAACCACGTCTCCCGTGACCATGATAAAAAACCTGAGCTTCACTTGGAGGCCAACCAACACACCCAGCGGCTCACGGCTAGGGAAAGACGGTGCCAGGCGTAGAATCTAGGTTTAGACATTGCTAATTTCTAGGCTGCTTCAGTTTTCCCTGCGAGGCCTGATGGAGAAGGGTTCAAGGAAGGGAACTCCAGAAGTACACTGACCAGGCAGATGAAGCTGGTGTGATGGCGTCACTGACCGGAGGCTAGCCACATGCCGCATGAGGACACTGGGGTGGAGAGATGGCAGGAAACAGTGTGGTCAGAAGGGGCCGGCCAGCGTTCCAGCTCCTGTGACGAGACATGCTGTGTCTTTTCCCCTGTGGTGCGATGTGCTCCATGAGGGACATCCCAACTTTCCTCAGGCCTCACACCTGACAGTCTGAATGTCGGTGTCACGGTGCATCCTTGGCATGTCCCTCCGCTGCTGCCTCCCAGGCAGTCACAGCCCAGTGGCTGCTTGATGGGTTGTGGGAGTTGAGGGATCCAAGCAAGGAAGGGAAGGCTGTGAATAGACATTGCCGACCATGTGGACCCCACCCCTCGGATGTCCTCTGTGGCCAAAGTCTCAGCATGGAACCTCGCTTATCAATTTTATTTTCCTTCAACTAATTTGAATGGGAAACCACCTGTGAGGTCAGTGGTTAGCTCCGAGAAGTACAGCTGTAACATTATAGAAGAAATACCAATCATTAGCAAAAGAAAAAAAAAAAAAAGGAATAAATACAATTTAAAGGCGCATTTCCCTGCTTTACGAGCACATTGGAAGTGAAGTTTCTCAGTATGAATACTATATTTCATGTGCTTACATGCCACAATCATTATTAAGGCCCGAATTTAAACTTCCTTAACATAGTCTAGAGTCCGAAGCAGCCCACCCGTCAAATTCTTCTGGCTATCCCTAATGCTTGTGTCTCGGGGCCCTGCTGGTGTGTGGGGTATACACTCATCCGAATACATGTCTTGCTCCTCAGCCACTAGAACTGTGTGTGTTGGAAGCATCAGTTCACAGGTGAAGGCTGGGCTCGCTGGACTCGCAGTCGAGTGGGGTGATGGGCTATGATGTTTGCTTTTACCCTCTCTAGAAGGCCAGCACGCCCGATATTCTCAAATTGTGCCATCAAGAAGATCCCAAGGACCCTCCCAGCCCTGTTTTGAAGCAAGATACTCTCCCAGCCAGTCCAACACACAGCACTGTTTTCTCTGGAGGCTCGAGACACGTAAGTCCAGTCCTAATACCTTACACAATGAGCCGTGTGGTTGTGAAGATATCAGGGTATAGAGAGGTAGCTCAGCAGCGGGGCACAGGCCCAGCAGGTACGCAGCACGGCTCTGTGCTGATCCTCAGCGCCAGGCTAGACAAGGTGCGGGGCATTGAACGTGAATGGCCCCCGTAGGCTCATATATTTGAATGCTTGGCCCTCGGTTTGATAGAACTGTTTGGGAAGGATTGGGAGGTGTGGCCTTGTTGGAAGAAGACGTCACTGGCTTGAACTTTGAAGTTTCAAAAGCCGATGCTGTTCCCAGTTAGCTCTCTCCCTGCCTCATGCTTGTTGAGCTAACAGGAGCTCTCCTGTTGCTCCAGCACCGTGCCTGCCTGCTGCCAGGCTCCCCACCAATGACTGTCATGGACTCACCCCCTGAAACCGTAAGCTCCCAAGGAACTTTCTTCCATAAGCTGCCTTGGTCATAGTGATAGTGAGAGAAAAGTAAAGACACACAGGAAGGAAGAGACTATGGTCTCGTGGTCAGACTCTAAGGGTAGAGCTAGGAGGTGATTTCTGTGAGATTTGGAGCTAGGGAAGGCCTCAAAATTATGTTGAGGCCAGCTTGTCTTTTCACCTTTTAAAAAATGTCATCTTGTTGAGAGCATTGTTGTATCCTCAGAAAGCAATTGGTGATTGTGCTTGTTTTTGTCAACTCGACACGAAACAGAGGGAACCTCAACTGAGGAACTGCCTCCATCAGATTGGCTCGTGGACAAGTCTGTGGGGCATTTTCTTTGGTGATAAATGGCCAGAGGGCAGCCCAGTCCTTTGTGGGCGGTGTCACCCTTCGGCAGGCGGTCCTGGGTCGTATAAGAAAGCAAGCTGAGCAAACCAGAAGCCAGTGAGCAGTGTCCCGCATGGTCTCTGCTTCAGTTCCTATCTCCTGGTTCCTGCCTTGAGCCCCTGCCCTGGCTTTCTCCTGATGGATTATGACCTGTAAGCGGAAAGAGACCCTTTCCTCCCAACATTGTTTCAGGTCACGATGTTTATCATAGCAACAGAAAGCAAACCAGGACAGTAACAAAATAAGAGTGTGTTTCAAGGAAAAGTTTTAAAGTTTGTTTTGTTTCTTTGAGACATAGTCTCTGTGCATAGCCCTGGCTGGTTTAGAACTCACTATGTAGACCACACTGGCCTGGAACTCAAGAGATCACCTGCTTCTGCTGCCCAAGTGCTAGGGTTAAAGGCATGCGCCACCATGCCCAGAGGAAATGTTTTAAAGTCTGATGATCTCATTTATCAAGGTTTTCTTCTCTGAGTTTTCTTGTGGTATATGGCTTCATGAGCTGTGGAGGTAAAGTTCTGTTCTGTGTAGAAGCTTTAATAGAATTTTCCTTTTTACATTTTCATCTGTGCTCTAAGGCTAATTTTATTAGGCTATTTAATCAGTACAGTATTCCTTGTTTTAAAAAGACTGTCTTTCCTTTAGAGACTTGATCATTTTGTCTCATCAAGTCTTATAAGGGAGATTCCTATCCTAGACTCTGTCCCTGGTCACAAGGTCTTTCCTTATGCCCAGACCACCTTGTCTTGTTTGTAAGTTTTGAGATGTAAGTCTTCCAATTTTACTCTTCTTTTTTAGGATGGCTTCATTATATTTAAACTCTGTCTTGTTTCGAGACTGGCATTTGTAGTCACCTATTCACTCATTTACTAAACAAAACTAAATGCTACTTATGCCTAGAATTTTAATGAGGAAACACTGCCTCTCTTAACAGTTTTTATCTGTTTTGTGCTGCTATCACAAAACACCACTGGCTCGGTAATTTGAAAAACAACAGAAATGTACTGCTTACAGTTCTAGAAGATGGGATTCCAAGATCAAGGCAGTGGCAGACTCAACCTGTTAAGGGGTTGTTTTCTCCTTTATCCCACCATCTTCAAGCTGTGTCCTCACCTGGTGGGAGCTCCAGGATTATCATATTCCTGGCATCTTCTGCATGAGATCTATTTTGCTTACCTGCCCTTTATCAGCTGTTCGTCAAAATGTAATTCCCAAGTCCCCTGAGTGGTGTCTCACACCCGTGGGATCCTTGATAAGCACCAGATGACCGGGTCAATCACCCATCACAGCTCTCATGCTCTGAAAGCCTACATTGGTGGCTTCTCATCTGAGACGTTCTCCTGTGACCCCGTCCGTGGAGGGCACTGGTAGTCCACTTCACAACTGAGCAGCCTGAGAGTCCAAGGGTCAGATGGCTTACCGGAGTCCTTCAGGGGCTGTGGGATTTGTGGTCAACTTGGGACCACAGACTATCAGATATGCTTGTGGAGCTCTTGTATGGACTGGTTTTTCCTACTTGCACTGTCCCCGTTTCTTCTCTCCCTATAGCTGATCTCTGCCTGGGAAACGTTTGAGAATTAAGGTTGGGCAGAAGAAATGGTTCAGTGGGCAAAACTATGATCCTGATAACCTAAGTTCAAATCCCTGGGACCCTATGAAAGCCAGGTGCTGTAGCATGTGTCTCTAAACCCAACACCTCTACTGTGAGATGGGTGGTGGAGACAGGAGAATATCCCAAAAGCTCAATGCCAGGTAGCTTAGTGGAAGGTGGAAGGTGACACCCAGATTTGTTCTCTGACCTTCACATGTGCACTGTGGTATATGTGCCTTCACACACACACACACACACACACACACACACACACACACACACACACATCATACAAAAAATTATTTTTGTTGTTGTTTTGTTTTTCGAGACAGGGTTTCTCTGTTTTAGCCCTGGATGTCCTGGAGCTCCTTCTGTAGACGAGGCTAGCCTCAAACTCACAGAAATCTGCCTGCCTCTGCCTCCTGAGTACTGGGATTAAAGACACCCGCCCAAGAAAATGAAATTTTAGAAGGTGTTCTGGGAAGAGTTAAGGCCATGACACTGAGGAGAAAGACACTGTCGTAGGCCTTTTTTCTTAGGAGAGTTTCTCTTGGCTTAAACTCAATAGGCATTACATTCTCATCTCTTCTTACTTTTTTTCCTGGGATGTACCCTTCAAGTTTATGATGGTGAGTTTAGATTGTTGTCTTGTTGTAACATCTTTTAAACCGAAGCAGTGCTTGCCTGAGGGATTCAAACTTGCATAAGGCAAAGAACCCACTGTTTTAGTTTTTTGAGACAGGGTTTCTCTGTGTAGCCTGGGCTGTCCTGAAACTCATGCTGTAGACCAGACTGGCCTTGAACTAACAGAGATCCCCCTGCCTCAGGATTACAGGCGTGCACCACTCTGCCCAGCTTACTTTGTTATCTCTTGTCCAAATGCATTGCCTGCCCTTCCTAGAGGAATTCACAACTCTGAGAAACAAGGAACTGGGCTAGGAAAAGCTTATGAAATCTCCACTTACACATAGACATGGGCAAAAAAAAAAAAAAAAAAAAAAAAATAGAGACAATTCCCTCCCAAGTAGTTGAATCGGGACAAAATTATAGCAAAATGTTATTTTGGGATCATGTTAATAACGTCTAAAAAATTCAAGGCTGGGGCACGGAGCAGCAGGCATGTGGAAACCACATGATGGGTGGAAATGGTTGTAGCTTCCCCAGAGGGCAGTTAGAGATACATGCATATATTCAAAAGCCTTGAGGTGTCTTCTTCCTGCTTCTGCCACGAGGGCCTTGTGTATGCTAAGCACATCCGCTACCACCGAGTTTCACTCCCAGCCCTGTGGCTTCTCTTGAATAATTTAACAGACAGGAGACATTTTTAAAGAGCGCCCGGAGTATACAGTATGGATGTCCAGGGCAGCGCTGTTTATAATTGTTTTAATTTTGGAAATTTGGCAGCACAGCAGCCAAACAGAAACAAGTTATGGTTCATATGTACGTAAGATGCTTTTAACTGTGTGAACACCAGGATAAGGCAGAGTATTTGGGAGGGGCTGGTAGCACACGGTTTCATAAAGAAAAAATAAGGTTGATTAGATAAAGTCGATCAGCAGGTGGTTTTGAAGCAGCCTGCGCTCAGACAGGAAGGAAGGGAGTAACTGAAGAAGGGGAATAGTTCTGAAAGCCTGGTGGCGCTTTTTTCCTTTTTTAAATCTCGTGTGCGCACGTGCTCATGCCTGTGACAGCGGCGTGCACGCCTTGTATCCCACGTGTGGAAGTCAGAATAACCACAGGCATCGATCTTCACCCTCTCCCTGCTTTGAGGCAGGGTCCCTTGCTCCCACGGCTTGTGCGAGGCCAGCTGGCCTGAGAGCTTCCAGCGGTTCTCCTGTCTGCGCCTGTAGGATCAGTGAGATTACGGATGTGGCTGTGTGTGGGTTGTGGGGACCTGACCCCCCAGCCCCAGGGTTCTTAACACAGGGGTGGGGATAGATGTTATTCTTATTGTCGTTATTTAACCACTCTTGTACAGTACACACATTGTTTGATACCCTATACATTTTGCAGCCAAGAAGAAGACAAGAGCGAAGAAGGAAAAGGTCTGCGTGGCTTGCAAAGGGCCCGTATGGTGCCCATACACTTGGGCACTGTCCACAGGCAGGGTTCTAAGCCTCTTTATCCTTATAACTGAGCCAACACAGCCTTATGAAAGAGATTCTGTTTTACAAATGAGGAAACTGAGGAAAACTGCTGGAGACCAGATGGCCAGCAGGGCTTAGGCCAGGGTGAAAGTTCTCCTTTGTAGTACTTTGCACTACTTTTGTTGTACTTTTTCATGTGTTTTTGGTTATCAGAATTTATTACTTAAAAAACAAACAAGCAAACAAACAAACATTGCTACAGTTTTTTCTAGATTTTTTGCCTTTGTGACATAGACAGGCCCAGGATGACCTTGTGACCTTCAGGGGGTCCTTGGCAAGTGAGATAGATTCCTGATCACTGGTGGGTGAGCTGGGTTTCCTTTCTAAGGCAGACAGTGCCCGTGGCTCTCCTGGGAGTCAGGCAGCCCTTCTCCGTTGCCCCCTTGGGCCAGAACCTTTTGATTTACTTGATTTGCTGCTCAAGTTGGAAGCTTACTCTGAAGTTCTGTTCTGGCTCTGGGGAAAACAGAACTGAGCTCAGACAAGGCCGTGGTAGAGTAGCAGCCACTGCCAAAGGACTTTGTGCAGAGGGCAAAGTACTTCTCCTTGGCTGAATTCTAGGCAAAGGGCTCCTTGGGGTATTTCCCAGTCCTGGGCATGGAACAAACCTAGGACCTCCTGCCTGTAGGCAATTGCTGTGTGGCTGAGCTATAGTCCCAGCACAAATGCTGTTTTAGTGACTAGAATTCTTTAGTTCTTCCATTTCCCCACCTCTTCCCTCTCCTGGGCAGCTCCCTTCTCTTGCCAACCCCTCTCCCCATCTGTCCGGTCTTCATTTTTAATCTTCACTCATTCTCCTTGCCTCACTATCCATGTGTCCTTGAGCATCTGCCATTTCAGAGTTGTTTTCTATTCTGGCACTCATGTGGTTTGGTAAGAAGACATTTTTCTGGGGCTGGGTGTGGCAGAGCTGGCTGTATTCTTGGCTGGTTGGTTCAGGTTCCAGGCCCTCTGAGTTGGTTTGGTTTGGTTTTTCTCTCAGTCTGCTGTAGGGTTTCTGGGTTTCTTTTCAGGGAGTTTTTTTGGTACAGAGGAGCCAGTCGGGTATTAGAAGCAGAAATTACTTAAGCTTCATGGTTCCTATAAAGTCAACGTGATGAGATGAACTAGTCCCAAATGGTGGGAGCCAAGTAGATTTAACAGTGGGAAGATGACTTAATCTTTCAGTCACAGGCATCCTGCGACACTTCATCTATCATTTAAGCTTAGACTCTTCTAATATCTGAAGGTAATTTCATGTTTACTTTAGGTGCCCATAAAATTTAAATATAATTTATTGTTACCTTTGTGCAGTCCACATAAGTTATTTTGTGAAGCCTTCTTCGTAACTCTGAGATCAGTATTATGTTTTTCTCTGTTAGACTTTGACACAGCCAGTGAGTAGCAGGGTCAGCCCTGGATCCCATTTCCCTCTGATCCCCAACCCCAGCCACTTTGTCTCTCTGCTTCTATGTACACACTGTCCGGCCAGGAAAGCCACCTGGCCCAAGAGTTATTCTCGCAGAAGGGCACACGAGCAAGTCCACTTCACCCGGTGACCTGAGGTGAAGACTGACTGGGTAGCCCTTTGTTGCCAGGCAGAGGTGTAAGGAGGCAAGGCCTGCTGAGGATGCCCATCACCTTGCGGTTCACTGGGTGGCAACTTCGGTTAGCAAAGTACAAGCTGGGATGTATTTACCAGTGTAACGTGAGTCAGGGCACATGCGCCGTGTGAATTGTGATGATTGTGAGAACAGAACTGCAAGATATTTATAAGCAGTGAAGTAATTTATTTTGTCTGCCGTTGATTTCAGGGAAGCTTAATTAGCATTAACAGCACCTGCACAGAGATGGGTAATTTTGACAATGCTAATGTCACTGGAGAAATAGAATTTGCCATTCGCTACTGCTTTAAAAGCCATTCTTTAGAAGTATGCATCAAGACCTGTAGGAACCTCGCCTACGGAGAAGAAAAGAAGAGAAAGTGCAATCCGTAAGTGGGTTTGTCTTCTGTTGTTTTTAATTGAATTTTTGGCGTCAGGCAGCTATTGCACCTAGATGTGTGACTCACGGAAGGGCAAAGATGGGTCAGTAGAGAATCAAAGTCTGGCTTTAAGGCCCTTAGGCTCTACGGGCCTTTGGATGCTCAGGGGGTATTTTAGACCATTGGAGTTGCTGTAACAGAAGGCTGGTGTTTATCCTTGCAGTTGAGGATGCTGGGAGTCCAGGTGCTGGCAAAGCTAGTGTTCGTGGAGGGCCAGCTCCCCGGTTCATAGGTGGACAGCTGAGCCCGTCATCCCACGGGAGAAGGGGAAAAGGGCAAGCAGTCTGAGGACTCCTTTATGAGAGCAAATCCCGTTCCGTGAAGGCCACTCGTACGCCTATTCACCTCCCAAAGGCTCCACTTTCAAATATAATCACGTGGGAGTTAAGTTCCAACAGAGGAGTTGAAACTTAGGGGCACAGACATTCCGAGTACATCAAAGAACCACAGCCAGTCGGTGGGGAAAGGAGGCCTGCAGTGAAGGTTGTTGGAATTGGAGTTCACACAAGAAAACCAAAATTAGCATCTTCCTTCCCGCAATTCATAATGACTTCCTCTTGAAGATCTATTTCTTTTATGTGTATGGATGTTTTGCCTGCATGTATGCATGGGCACCACATGTATGCAGTGCCCATGTGTCCTGATTACTTTTTTGTGATAAAGTACAATGACCATGGAATTTTATGGTTTCAGAGGGCTAGAGTCTGGGATGGAGTAGTATGGGCTCACGAATTGACCCTCAACCACAAGGCCGAGGGAGGAATAGGGAGAGAGAGACTGGCTGAGCGTAGTGCTACACCTCCTCCAGCATAGCCATGCCCCCTAGTTCTTCCCAGAGGGTGCCACCAGCTGGGGGCCAAGCCGTCCCACATATGAGTCTATGGGAGCCATTCTCATTCAGGCAATCAGGAGACGGTGGAGGGAGTCAGAGCCCTTAGCACTGGAGTCACGGCCACTGTGTGGCTGCTGGGAACGGAGCCCAGATCTCATGCAAAGCAGCAAGTGGTCCTAACCACTAGGCACTCTCTCCAGCCCCTCACAAAATAATTTATAAAATTTCCCCCACTGATATAAAAAAGAAATATCACTATTATGAACAAAGTTCCCCATAGAGGCGTTAGCCACTTGGATTTCCCCTGTGGTAAACCTGTTCATATTTTTAAAAATTGCTTTGTGTGGGTGTGTGTGTGCATGAGTGTTCGTGCATGCACACACCTGCCTGCATGAAGCTAGGAAGTGATACAGGGCCTCATGCATGCAGAGCATGTTCTCTGTCACTAACTTACATGCTCAGTCCTTTCCCAGCCCTTGGGAATGTGTTTCTTGGTGCAGAGGGTTAGGCCTCAGCATGCTGGACATACACTCTATGGCTGAGCTAGACCTCAGCCCTAGGGAAATGGTTTTTAAGCCCTATTTCAAATAGACTGGATCCCCTGTTTACAATAGGGCACTAAAAGTTCTGCTGTGTGTGTGTGTGTGTGTGTGTGTGTGTGTGTGTGTGTGTGTGTGTGACTTACTCCAACTATTGCTCCTTTTCTAGGTTATTTGTGATGACTTTTCTTGGAGAGAATTTGATATGATAAATTTTTCAAGCCTTTGCCTTCTAAGGCCTGGATTTTGAGGTTAGGACTCAGAGGTGGAGCATGTTCTTCACATGGACAAGGCCCTGGCTGTGACCACCAGTGCTGCAAGAAAAAAAGATAGAAAGAAAACTCAAAACAAAAGCAAAGTATGTGGGAGGGTGAGACAAGAGGCCTTGTGAGTCAAGGCCAGCATGGGCTCTATAGTGGGTTCTGGGACAGTCTGAACTGTGTAGCAAGATCCTGTCTCAAGAAACCAAAACCAAATCTCTTCAGCAACAACAGTTTTTATAAATCTGCTTCTTTGTGTGTATGGAATTCCCATGCCACTTGAAAATTATTGATGCATGATTATGTTTCTATTTTCTTCTAATATATGAATGCGTGTATATGTGTATATATATGACATATATACAAAATTATGTGTGTGTGTGTGTGTGTGTGTGTGTGTGTGTGTGTGTGGTATGTAGATCATCTCATATTAAAAGTAGAAAATTGGTTTCCTAGCAAGGCTTAAAGCAAGGACTTCCCCTCTCTAAATTGTTTTAATTTCTAGTTGTCAGGGGATGGCAGCAAAAGCAATGGACTGATAAGCTAATCAAACTCGCCTCCATTCTGAAGTCTTCAATAGCTCCTCAGTCATGCATACCCATCAAAATACAAATTTATAGAGAGATTACAATTTTTCATAAAGACCCTTTATTGCCTGGTCTCAGCTTCTGTCCTTCTGTGGACCCCATAGCCTGGGGATCTGGGATAGCCTTGGTTCCCAAAAAAACCCTCTGACTTTCACATTTCAAAATTTGGGATATTTTGTCAAAACAATGTTTGTTTTTACAACAAAGAAAGACTTAAATTAATTTTTTTAAACTTTAACCTTAAAATACTAGAAAAAATTCTAAGGATATTAATTTTACAAATAACAGAAGAAATAAAAATAAAACACAATAGAGAAAATAAAAAAACACAAATGTAGGCTCTCTGTAAAGGAAAACGTGTAGCTAATTTATCAAGATAAAGAGAAAAGGATAAATATCAGAAGTGAAAACAAGTAGTTCTTTTCTATTTTGGTCTTATTGGCTTGTTTGTTTTTCAAGACAGGGCCTCTTTGTGTAACAGCCCTGGCTGCCCTGGACTTGATCTGTAGACCAGGCTGGCCTTGAACTCAGAGATCTGGCTGCCTCTGCCTCTCAAGTGCTGGGATTAAAGGTGTACACCACCAAGCCTGGCCACTAAATTGTCCTTTTTATTGTAAGGAGATTGAATTTGGCTTGATGTATTAAATTACGGGATAGGGTTGCATGTAGTCAGTGGGAAGTGCTTCCTGTTAGCATTTGCCCTGTCATTTCTAGTTTTATGGCATTGTATGTATGTGTCAGGAATATAGGCTTCTACATAACAGCAAAAACTAGGACATAGGAGTCTTTAAAGGCTAATGAGTTGTGATAATTAATAGAGTATAATGGCATGTCGGAAAACAAAGGGATCACAGCTCCATCAGCATGGGGGATGTTGATGAGGAAAAAAGCAAGTTACAAAAGCGCAGATGAAGCCAAGCACTGTGGCGCATGCCTGTAACCCCAGCACTCAGGGAAGCAGGAGCAGGTGGATCACTGTGAGTTCAAGGCCAGCCTTGTCTACATGGTGAGTCCAGGACAACCAAGGCTACACGGAGAAACCCTATTTCGAAAACAAACAAACAAACAAACAAACAAACAGTGTAGATGAGCAGTTCTACTTCCATAGGTTCAAAAACAGGATCTTTAGCTGGGAAGAGTATAGTTTTTGAGGTCTCTGAGAGCAAAAAAGTATGAGTCATGAATTTCCATTTTCCTCCTTAGTTCTGAGGGCTCAAGGGTAGCAATGGGTGGAGATGGGAAGAGGGGGCTTGGCACATCCTTGGAACAACTGGTTCTGTGGTCGTTATCAGACTGGAGGTGAGGAACTGAGACATTCTAGACGTGGGGTCTGAGAGAGCAAGGTCGAGACCTTTGCCCAACACTTGGCTGAAGCTGTGTGAGTCAGAAGTTGCTCACACAGCACGTGGCCTGTGAAGGGATCTCTCAGTCAGTGAAGGGCTTGCCCTGCAAGTGTGAGGACCTGAGTTTGGATCCCCAGTAGTCATGTAAAAAGCTGTGCACTCGGAGGCACCTCCATAATCCCAGTGATGGAGAAGTAGAGACAGGAGGAGCTCTGGGGCGTACAGGCCAGTCTAGAGACCGGATGATGGTAACAATGTTAAAAATAATGTAGAGGGCAGTTAAGGAAGACATCAAACACCAGCCTCTGGCCTACACATGAAGGTACATATGTTAGACATACATGTGCATGTGTATGCGCACATAGGCACAACACACACACACACACACACACACACACACACACACACACACACACACCAGAATGCCATGTGTCTTGCCTATCAACTCAAGCTCCAACAGGGAATCAGGGCAGAGAAAACGCTGATGCTGTATTCTGTTCACCCAATGTTGAATTGCCTCTTTGTCCTTCTGGCTCTGCCCCATTAGGTATGTCAAGACCTACTTGCTGCCTGACAGGTCCTCCCAGGGAAAACGCAAGACTCGAGTCCAAAAGAGCACTCTGGACCCAACTTTTGAGGAAACCTTGAAGGTACTTGCTGGGCGAGCAAACATTCCTGAATCCTCCCCACCCCAGGTGGGGCCCAGGGTCAGAGTCCAGTGTGCCTCTTTGAAATTCTTGAGTCAGTTACATATAAATGCAGACACCTATACTTTTCTTCGTGGTTCTGTCAATCAGTGCCCAGTTGAAGAAAGGCAGACATGAGCCTTTGTACTCTGCCTGACTTGGAAACAGCTTTGGATTAATGATTTCTAAGGAACTGCACGTCTCACGCTAACAGCTGGGTGTGCAAGGAGACCCGAAAGATCGGTATGTCTTGTAATGTTTGCCTGAGTAGCAGAGAGGTGTTCTCAAGCAGAGGATTCTGGGAATGAAGCTGATGCATTTTAGTCTTCGGAGAAATGACTCTCTTTTGAAATACATGAAAGCCATAGGTTTCTCCTTTTATGAAAAAAAAAATGTCATTTTTATTAAGAACAACAAATTGCATGACCAGGGAGATGGCTCAGTAGGGAGAGTCTTCAGAACCCACATAGAGCCAGACTCACAGCACTTGTCCGTAGTCTCCTTCAGGAGGTGGGAGGTGGAGAGAGCCCAGAAGCCGGCAGGCCAGCTAGCCTGGTGGGCACAGCAGCAAAACAAGGGACCCCGTCGCACACAAGGTAGAGGGTAAGGGACGAGGCTGTTCTGTGACCTCCAGAGGTGTTTGTGCGTGTGCTCATGTGTACCCGTATTCATGGACACGCCCACCCTACACACCCATCCCCATCGTATGCCTATCCTATACAGACATTATATACATATCACACGTGCAGATAAACAAGAGGTTCTAAAGGAATTATTTGAATTTTCACTTTCTGTCCTACTGAAAAACGAGGTTAAGCTTTTGAGCTGAGCCAGGGGCCTCAAGCCTCATTTGAGGTGGAGGAAGTCCTAGCCATGAGCTGTGGCTGCTCCAGCCATGGGCTGCCTGGCCTGGAGGAAACCCCCGGCCAGCACAGGCAGCAACAAAGTTGCACTGGCAGGTGAAGAGGGCTTTGTCTGCCTTTCTTGGCAAGTAGTGGCAGTTAGGGGCCATGTGGGCCCTGGAAGGGCGCCTTGAATTCATTAAATCAGCATCATAATAGCCATTGTTTCCAGTGCTTCGGGTAAGCACTGAGGACGGTATTAAGAAGCTTCACTTGCCAACAGGAAATTAGACTTGGGGAGCTGGAGAAGCTTAGCAGGAACTCACAGTGGAGAGGCTGTCCTTGAAAGGTTGAGGTGGGAAGGGAGGAATCCCCAGTTTTGTTTTTAGATTGCAGATTCTGACTCAGCAGGTGTAGGTAGGGCCTGAAATGCCCTGTTCCCACAGACGCTGCAGGCCACTTGCTTCCTGGGAGAGAATTATGTGCTGCCTGGGACATTTAGGTTGATATTAAAATATTCGTCATAAGTCTAATAAGCTATTCTGTGTAAGACTGAGGCCCAAGAAATGAGATGTGAACTATTTTAGATAAGTATTTAATTAGGTAATTCAACTTAAAAAGTCTCACTTGCCTTATTTAAATTACATGCACAATCTCAAAGAAACCACAATTATAGTCTGTTAGGAAGAGTTTATGGTCTTTGGGAAACTTTTAGATGTTTGTGAAAGAATAATGTCTTTAACTTAATTATACAGCATTCTAACACAGACCAAAGTTAATCTTGAAGAAACTGCTGCAGCCAGGCATGGTAGTGCACGCCTTTAATCCCAGCACAGGAGAGACACAGGCAGGCAGATCTGACCAGCCTGTGAGTGCCAGGTCAGTCTTTAAAACCTGTGGCAGGATACCTGTCCCTCTGGCGTTGGCACTCAGGAGGATTATAAGGCGAGGGAAGAGGGCCGTGAGAACCACCTCCGGCTGGTTTTGAGAGAAGTGTGTGAGTCGACAGCCGTTCCGCCCTGACTCCCCCGTCTTGCCAGAGGTGTGCATATGAAAGTTGAGCCTTGGGCTAGAGAGGTGCTACCTGCGGACCCAGCACCCACGTAGAGAGAGCTTGGCATGTGCGTGTTACCTCAGTGCTGGACAGTAACGGGGACCCAGAACTCAGCCAGCCCAGCCCAACAGCTTTAGGCTCAGCTCAGAGGCCCTGTCTCAGAAGAGAAAAGGGAGAGCAATGGAAGAAGATGCTTAATTCAGTCTCCGGCCTCCACGTGAATCTCCACAATACATCCTACAGCACAGAGACACACCAGTCACACACACACACACATCCTACAGCACAGGGACACACCAGTCACACACACACACACACACACACACACACACACACACACACACACCATTCACACTTCACACGGCATACACACACCATTCACACTGTACACGGCATACGGCACCTCACACACACACACACACACACACACACACACACACATACCATTCACACTGCACACACACACACACACACACGCCATACACACACCATTCACACTGCACACACATACACACCTCTCACCTACCGCACACACCCAAATACACACCCTCACACCCATACCACATACATCGGGTTCACCATGCGCACACACATACACCACACACCACACACCACACACACACAATAACACACATACCACATACACTGCACACATATACTCTACTCACTGCGCACAAACGCACACACAACCCGCACCATAACACAAATGCACACACACAACACACATATCCTGTACACACACGGCACACACACACACGCACACACACACTGTACACACACACTATACCCTGCACACACACAAGTCTAAAAAAGTCAGTTGTCAAAGTGCTCGGGACAGAATGTCTCTGGGGTCCCTCTAGGCTCCAGGGAGGTTTCCACTCCCTTTGAGACCGTCTGAATGGGAATCGGAGGGGACAGAGACAGCACATTTGGGGGTTTGGTCCTTGTCTGCTCTTGTCCTCTGGCGCCGCTTATGTGCCAGACCCCGTGGTGGGCAGCAGCCTCGGGCCGCTGGTACAGCTTTGGAGAGCCCAAGGGGACAGAGTGCTCGTCCAACCAGTCAGCTCAATTACAGTCATCCTTTAGGGGCGAGCAGCCAGTGGGAACCTAGGAAATGCAAGCCTGAGTGTCTCCTGGAGCGCCCCAGGGGCCTGCAGGGCGGGAACCGGGACGGCCCTCAGGCGGCACCCTGGCCCCACTGCACCATGGGCCCGCAGCTGGCTCTTCTGGAACAGCTTCGTTTCTCACAGGGAAGCAGGCACAGCCTGAAGTCAGGGCTTAACTGACCTCTCGTGAGGGAAGGGGCAGGATGAAGTTTGGGATGATTTAGTCGTTTGACAGAGGGAGAAACAGAGCAGGGAACCAGTGTGGTGGCACAGACCTTTAATCCCACCCAGCATGTGGGCGGCAGAGACAGGTGATCTCTGTGAGTCTGAGGACAGCCTGGCCTGCATAGTGAGTTCCAGGACAGCAAGAGTTACACAGTCAGACCCTGTCTCAAAAACAACAACAACCACAACAACAAGGAAATGAAACAGGGATGTGGAAAGCAATAAAAAACAGAGCCAAGGACTGTGGAGCAGGAACATGGCTAGAGTGTCTAGACCCTTGGCCACGCAGATCCCAGAGGGAAGAGGAGGTCAGCCAGATGGGTAGGGACAGCAGCCATCACCACCACCCTTCTCTGTCTGCAAACGCAGAGAAGTCAGTATTTCGGTTCCTGTCTCCTTCCCTCTTGTCCCTCAGAGAGCGGGAAAGATGCAAAATTCAACTAGACTGCACGTGTACCCTCGGTGGCCGCGGGTGTCTGCTCACACCACGCCACAAACCCTGAGTAAGGCAGCACAGTGCAAAGGTCAACGGTGAGAGGTCAGGGCATCGCCACCCTCCACCGGTGGCTTCCAGATGGAGGTGGCATACCCACCTTAAGTGAGTCACTCACGTTAAATGGTACTGACCTCGCCAGGACTTGTGGAGGTCAAAGATGCCTGGTACAAGACGAGGGCCCGGCACCTGGCCTTTGTGTTCATTATCGAAAAAGTACAACGTACAGATTACAACGCAGGTTCTCAGAGGCTGAGAAGGGTGCTGCTCCCTGTGGCACAGCCTTCACCCACAGTCCTGATCTCTGGCCCCACGTTCCGCTCACATGCATTTTCTATTCAAGGTAAACACACTGGCATAAAAGTGTTATGTTTTGCATTTATTCATTATTTGTTTATTTTACTGTGGCACTGGGGACAGATCCTAGTCCCCATATCTTTTATACACAGCTCTGGTTCCGTTGCATTTTTAAGAAATCAGAAGCCCGGTCTTTAGTATTTTGGCATAATATTGGCTTGGTGTGGTGTGGCCCTGTGCCAGGCAGAGCCTGTGTTGACACAGTTCTTGGTTTGGTCTGCAGCAGTCCTGAGCTAGGCCAAGGGTGTCAGGTGGGAACAAGGGTGGGAGGGGATGAGAAACGGGCTGTGAGCGGTGCTGGGCAAGCAGACAGAGAGCTCTGTCTTGGCCCCTGGCTCCACACAGCTTGGCCCACCCCAACTACACCTGGACTCTGGCTGCAGCAGCCTCGGGGCACAGCCCATGTGGGTTTTGGGGGTGGTTCTGGGGCACCTGGCTGACAAGCCTGTCCTTGCATCTGCAGTACCAGGTGGACCCTGCCCAGCTGGCCACTCGGAGGCTTCAGGTCTCTGTGTGGCACCTAGGCACCCTTGCCCGGAGGGCATTCCTTGGAGAGGTGATCCTTCCCCTGGCCACGTGGGACTTTGAGGACAGCAAGACCCAGAATGCCAGATGGTACCCACTTCGGGCCAAGGTCTGACTTTGCAGGGGTGGGGTGGGGGTGGGGTGGGGGTGGGGTGGGGGTGGGGGTGGGGGTAGGGGTGCTGGCTGTATCTGTTACTGTTCTGTTACCGTGATAAATCATCATGACTGGAAACAGCTCAGGGAGGAGTTTATTGTGGCTTATGGTTCCAGGGAGGCATGGCAGCAAGCAGCAGAAGTGGGAAGCTTGGAGGTCACATCCCGAGGCCACACAGGGAGCAGGGGGGGCAAACTGGACATGGAGTAAGGTCACAAACCGTCAGAGCCCACTCCCCACTTCCTCAAGCAAGGCTCCACATGCCCAAAGTTCTGTGACCTCCCTAAATAGCGCCACCAACTTGAGTCTATGAAGTGGCGTTTTTCATACACACACACACACACACACACACACACACACTCGAGACATGAGAGACATGAACATGGCTAGGTTATCTCTGGCTGGCATCTATGAGTGTCCCATCCTGCCTCCTTTGGTGGAATGGGCTCGTGCAGAGTGCCAAGCTAAAGTCACCCTACCTGACGCCGGCTAAGAGTGTAGCATCCTGCCACTGAACAGGAAGTGAATGCCCACAGGCCTGCCACGGAGCTCCACCACTGGGGTACTCTGGGGTAGGTGCTTGTTCCCTAGACCTTGAGGGTCTCTGTTGGTACCCAAGGACCTGTTCAATGCTTCTGTGCAGGCCCATGCAGGCTCCCTGGCATCCTGGGTACCCTGAGGGCAGCTTCTCGCTTCTGGTGGTGGCAGACATGACCTTCCCTCCCAGTAGACCTCTCCATACCCAGGATGGAAAGTCCATCAAATCCAGGATCATCTTCTCTCTGGGCTTCTCACTCTGACAAAATCACTCATGACCAGAGAAGCCACTTCTGTAGACTGAATGGCATCTCTACAGGGGCTAGAACCCACAGCCTACACAGCTTACCTATAGCTTCAGGCATAGTCTGCAATGCTCTCTGCCCTCAGCGCCTGAAGGAGACCCTGGCATGGGAGGCTAGCTCGACCTAGAGCTGGTGAACAGGGAAGGACCTTAATCGTTTTCTGGCCTTCCCGCAGCCACGCTCTTCCCAGTGGCTTCGGATGTTGTCAGGACAGTGAGTTGCCCCTCCCATGCTGAGGGGCTGAGGGTGGCAGGGATGGGGCAGTGCGGGTAGAGGATGAGTCCACCAGGAGTGTCCATCCCATGTCTTGGCCTTGAGAGGGTCTGTGGGGGTGGGCCACCTGTGGGCTGCGTTGAGACTACCTGCACAGTACAGGTGCTTCTGAGGGGCAACCAGGAAGGATCTGGCTTCTGAGCTTTGCCTCTTGCCCCCAGGCTGAGAAATACGGAGAGAATATTCCTCAGAATAATGGAGAACTTGCTGTTCGAGCCAAACTGGTCCTTCCTGCAGGGCCGAGAAAGCTCCAGGAGGCCCAAGAAGGTTGGTGACCTCCAGCCCTTTGAGCATTTGTTTGTGGCACTGTCCCCAAAACCCGGAGGGCAGGCAGTCTGAGGTAGGCAAAAGATTTCCCCACTGCCCACTGATCCTACGCATTCCAGTCCCTGGAACTCGTGACTCGAGGCAATGCAGGTGATCAGAACAGGAGAGGCCTCCAATGTACACAACATCCTTCCTAAAATATAGACCGGCCAGTCTCCGGTGGCCTTGTTGGGGGGAAGAAAAGGGACAGTGCAAGAGCATGAATCCAGAGGTCAGAGGTAGGCTCTTTAAGAACCAAGGGTGCATCCGGGGCACTGGGGGCCCCAGTGCTCAGACATCAGGATGGAGTGGGTCAAGGGCATATCCTCCAGCTATTTAATTTAGATAATGCAAGGTATGTGGACACTAGGAGGGCCGAGGAGGACATGGAGAGAACTCACAAGATGACAGGTAGACTGGTGACTTTGGCAGGAGTGGGACACTCTGATCCTGAGCTCCCGGGGCCAGCAGCGTGCACCCTCAGGTGGTCACCAAAGCCTTCCCTCAGCCGCTCCTCGAGCCCTTCTCCAACCAGCAGCTACAATCGGCTTGCACAGCTTTTCTCCTCATGGTTTCCCCAGTCCTCTAACTGCCACCTTCCTGTGGGCATGTTCCTGGTCCTCTCACCGTCCGCACTCTGATAGAGGCAGTGTGCACCCAAAGCCCATGACGCTGGTGGGAGAAGTGTGCCTTTTCCTCCCACTGTCTTAAGGCCCAGGGGCTGTGGGTCCTCTCGGAGCTACCACCTTCTGGGTGTCAACACTGCATACTCACCGATCGGGAAAACAGGCCTAACTCAAGCTCTGACTTTCCTTCCAGGAACAGGTCAGCAAGTGCTTAATGGTCAACTTTGTTTGGTCGTGCTGGGAGCCAAGAATTTACCCGTGAGGTCGGACGGCACCTTAAACTCATTTGTTAAAGGGTTAGTATTAGATGTGTTGGTGAGTGTATATTGAGCATGGTCCAAAATCTGTAGGAAACACCAAAAAGGCCAGGCTGTTTGAATTCACCTCGTTTTAGCTTCCCTATGAAAACCTTAAAACAGGGCTGGTGAGATGTCCCAGTGGATAAAGGCACCTGCCAAGCATGATGACCCGAGGCCAGGCCCCTGGAGCCAGCCACACGGTTGGAAGGAGAGAACCAACTCCTGCAACTTGTTCTGTGACCACACGTGTGGGGCAAGTGCACCCGTTCTTACGTGCGTGCACAGGAAACACTAAAATGCAATTCGATTTTTGAAGGGCCATGGTTTCCAGGAAGTGAAATTTGGTCAAGCAAGGTTTACCTGGGAATAGCACATTTTAACCAGAAACCGAGACCTTATCAGTTCTTGAAATACCAGGAATTGGTTTTGAAATCAATTAACGTTTCCCTAGTTTCCCTAGCTTAGCACCTCCTCCTGGATTAAGCATCATATGGTCTTTGTCATTCTTAGTCACTACAGGTGTGCTAGGGTCCTCAAAGGAAACACTAATAATTACATGGTGTCTTGTCAGGACGGAACCCCTCACTACCACTGTGTATACCCTATGGCAAGTTTGCGTTTCTGAATCTGTTTTCCAGAGACTGGAGCAAAATGAAGCCATCTGTATACAGAGCCCTAGTCCCTAGGCATTGGTTTTAATGGTGGTGTGGCCATGAGGAGAGCTTACAGTGAGAGCCCTGTGGAAACAGGCACATCCCAGGGAGAAGGACTGCGGACAGGCCCTGGGATGCTAACCCAGTTCAGCGTAGAATGGGTGGGTACCTGTGGGGAAGGAGGCTGCATGTTGAGGTTGGCCTCAAGGATCCTGTTTTCCCTTTTCAGCTGTCTCACTCTGCCAGATCAACAAAAACTGCGGGTGAAGTCCCCCGTGCTGAAGAAGCAGGCCTGTCCCCAGTGGAAACACTCCTTCGTGTTCAGCGGCGTAAGCAGCTCTCAGCTGCGGCAGTCCAGCTTGGAGCTGACTGTTTGGGACCAGGCCGTCTTTGGTATGAATGACCGTCTCCTTGGGGGAGCCAGGCTCGGTTCACGTAAGTCTGTTCACTTTCTGTGGATGGGAGTTTATCAGGTTTCTGTCCTTGGAGATCGCCCAACATGGACACTCGGTTTCTATAGTGGAAATGATTCATCTGGCTTTGAACCTGCCCTGTCCTGCCATAATGGGAACTCCCCAGTCCAGGTCTAACTCTGTAACAGAGTGCTGATACAGCCAAGTATTTCAGCAATTTAAATCAGATTTGGATCAGCTAAAGAAACAAGCTCCAGGCTTCAGAAGTATTTACTTCTGTTCCTGGTGTCGATCATAAGAGGATTATTTTCTTAAGGAAAATCTCTTAGTCCGGACAAACATAAATGTGGAAGGACGTCACTGAGGCGACAGACAAGGGCGCCATTCAGTGTGGCTCACGGGGAGGTTGCTGGCATTGTGTGCCCGGCTTCCTACTGGGAACAGGCAGGTCTGAGCCCCATCTCGTTCTCAGCAGGGCCCTGACGCAGGCAGTCACCTACCCACAGTTCCACAAGGCTGCCAGGCTGAGTACTAAACCAGACTTGGGGCTGTATTCCTTAGAGAGCAAACAAGAAAACCCTTCCTCAAAAAGAACAAACAAACCTTCCCCTCAGAGCCGTGGCGCTCAACCTTCCTACCGCTGCGACCCTTTAATACAGTCCCTCCTGTTGTGGTGACCCCCAGCCAGAAAATTTTTGTTGCTACTTCATAACTGTAGTGCAGGATACCTGATCTACGACTCCTGTGAACGGGTCATTCGATCCCAAAGGGGTGGACCCATGGGTTGAGAACTGCTGCTTTCGAGCGTGGAAGCCTAGGGCTAGGGCTTGGGGTGAGGGAGAGAACAGGGTTAGCCTTCTCACCCATGGCCTTCTCTCTCATTGCAGAGGGAGGCCCTGCAGGCTGTACTGACTCGTGTTCGCAGTCTGGGCTTCAGTGGCAGAAGGTATTGTCCAGCCCCAACTTATGGACAGACATGACCCTCGTCCTGCACTGAGCGAGCCTGAGGTGACCGCCTACCTTCAAAGGTCAGCAGGCTGTGGGGTCACCAGACTCGGACCGCTGGATCCCCGGGAACCGCCTACGGCTGCGTGTGGTTAGAGGGACACACAGTTACTGCTGTCTCGGGAGTCGGGGAGGGTTACTCCCGCAGACGTGGAAACGTCCTGATTTCAGTTCGTGCTCACCAGCTGTCCACGGCTCCTGGCATTTTAGCAACAGAAATTTAAGCTTTGTTGTATGTGTTTCAGAGGGGAAAAAGAAGTGGTGAACATTGGCCACCTCCTCTCCTGTAGCGAGCCTCCCAGGGAAAGGAGCCCGTCCAGTTAGCAAGCTCCGCGACGCCTGAGGCAAGTCCCGAAAGGACCCCGTGCAAGCGGACGCGAGGCCTTGGAGAGCTTTCACTGTGTGTAAATCTGGTGTGGCGCACAGAAGGGAGACAAGCTGAGAACAGGAACAAGGCGCTCACAATAAACAGGCCGGACTCCCTTCAGGGCTGGATCGGAATGCTCTCAGTCTGTATTTTTTTCAAAGAAGAAACTGACAGGAAATTGAAGTGTGCATTTTACATGCACTAAACCCACTAACATTTTGTACAGCGGTGATTGATCAGTTGTTTCCCAACTGCCCCCACGTCAGATCAAGTGTCGCGATTACATGGTTCTTAATATTTACTTCTTTTATTCTGTAAAAGGTAACAAAATATACAGAACAAAACTTTCCCTTTTTAAAACTAATGTTACAAACCCATATTATCACTTATATATAAATACTATTCTCTACAGCAGATCATTAGGTATGTAAGTCCAATGACGTATGCTAACAGGTAAGCATGAAAAAAGCTTTGTATCGGAGAGTCCTGTACCGTCCACTCTGAAGGGGCCGCCGCGGACTCTGCCAGCGCCCTGGAGGAAGGAGGCTGTGCGGGAGCGTACCTTAGGCCCAAATTTCAAAATCATTTTCACCCCTCAAAACACAGAGATGGATCCTTCATAGAAATCAAGAACAAAATCGATCTGAGCTCATTTCAAACCTAGAGAAAGTATGGCACCCGTGTGTGAGCCACAGTGCTGTCCCTGGTGACAGCGAGCTTTGTGTCACACGGTCCAGCTTGAAGTTTTAGACTTTAGAGCCACCCGAATCCCTGCTCCAAACAGGAAGTGTCGGTAGCTGTTCTAACAATCTGGCCTGTTTGGCACTACGATACAAATGGAAGTAACCAGAGAGGACCCCCCAATGGGTCCTGGGGCAGAGTGCTTCTGCTGGTAACTGCAAGGGACTAGAACACGTCAGGGGGTTTCTAGACTTAAGAGCTACAGGGCCAAGGTGACAGCGCCCTGCCATGAGGTGCCCTCCGCCCTTGGTCCCAGCCTGGTCTCTACATGGCCTCGAACTCGTCGATGCGCTGCTTGGTGTTGCCCTGCCTGATCTGCCGCAGCGTCTTGTACTTGTCCCGGCCTTGCCGCATGTTCTCATTGTGGATGATGTCATTGTGGGTCCTCTTATTCTCATCCCGGGCCTGCGACAGCTCGTTGCTCAGGGTCTGCAACACGAAGCACGTATCTGTTACCCACCTGCCTCCCCTGCGGGCTGAGGGCGATTCCACGGTGACCTCGGGGAGTGGCCAGGAGATAGGGATTCGGAAGGGCAGGAAAGGGGTCCTCACTAACGCCTGCTGGCAGAGATGATTGCAAGCGATGCCCTGAGGGCCCGAGGGCCCCTGCCCACTCACCAGCAGCTGCCGCTGCACGCGCTCGTTCTTCTCCGCCTCAGTGATCCGCTTCTCCTCGTTGCGGTCATCCAGGATGCCCTCGCTGGACAGCTCCGCGCTGTAGCCCATGGGATCTGCCCCCTCATCCTGCAGTCCCTCCTGCACATGGTAGTTCACAGGCTCGTACACCGGGGGTGGCGGGGGCGGGGGAGTCGTCATCACCAGGTGTAGCTCCTCCTTAGTCTTCACCAGGTCGTCCTGGGCTTCTTTAGCCTTTGGGGAGGAGACCACTGGTCAGGTGAGAACCCATAGCCCGTCCTGGAAGAGGTGGTGTGGTCTGCCAGCAAGGAGCCCAGGGTTCTGCCTCCACTTGGCTCTCACCAGAGTGGCAGCACACATGTCCACACACACACAAATCAGGATTCCAGATGCTGGAAAGCACCATTTCTTTCTGCCTGGAAGAACAGGCTCATGGGCTATGTTCTCCAGCTGCCGGAAGTACCACCACTTGGAGTAAGTCTGTGCATGCATCTAGCTCTCAGGTTGTCAGTCAGGGGCCCAGACCCCGTCTCATCCGCCTGCACCCCCTTTCTAGATGTGAGCTCAGTCTGACCTGCCTTATAAATGGATTTCTTCACCTAATACTTTTACAATGAGGACTTTCCCTGAATCTTATGTTTTCTGCGTGCCATGGGTTGGAGAGCACGGAAAGAATGGATGGGAGACATAGGCCTGAAGCAGCTCCAGAAAGAGATCCCTAGAAGCAGGATACATGGAGAAGGGGCTTCTCAGAGCCTAGAGTTAAGTCCATGGTAAGAACCACAGCTAGACGCTCTGATGTCCCGTTCTCCGGTATATTCCACGGGCCACATTCTGCTTCAGGCTCTGTGACCCCATCGCAGGGAGTACCCAAGCAATTAGAATCAAAACCAGCTTCCGATCAGGGGGGTTTGATCGTGGCTGAAGAGCGTGGGATGTGGAACACAGGGAGGAAAGGAATAAGTGGGCCTTTGTTCCTCTGCTAATCCAATGCCAGCGCGCCGTTCTACCTCGTGAACAGGGCCCAGGCCATTCCTCTGGGGATTTCTGCCTTGTTAAGAAAGAAGGCATCTGCAGAGGATTTGAAGAGGTTCCAGAAATTTGGGATGTGACCTGCAGCTGAGCTCAAAATAATCTTCCCCCAAGATGTACCCCGCAGTCACGCACGGTTCCGGGGTTCAGACTTACCCGGTGCTGCCACTCCTCCACCTCGTCCTCCTTGCGCCTCCGAGCCTCCTCCAGCAGGGCAATCTTGGCAGTGTACTCAGCCAGCTCTGCAGCCTGGAGGAAAGGCAAATCCTTCTGGCAGAGTTCTCTGGTGAACCAACACTCATCCGCAAGAATGAATGGCCTCCTGATGATGCCTTGTGCTCCCTCCATCTTCGTGGTCAGGGGACCCTATCCGCACCTCCCTCTGTGTGTCTGTGAGGCCCTGAGCACCCACTCCACCTCCCTCACTGAGGACGCAGACCAGTCCAGCCCACCCTACTCCCTGCTGCTGCCACAGCAGATCTGCTTACAGCCCTGGCTAAAAGCTCTGAAAGGCCTGCGTGGCCTGTTTGATTCCCTAGGAGCAACCTCTCCATAATTCAGCATCTTGAAACCAGGCAATCCCTACCAGCTGCTCCTGACTCTTTATCTGATCCTGTGTCTGTCTCTCCAGTTCTTCCTTGGCCCGCAGCGCAGCCACACGGTCAGCCTCCAGTCGCTCAGCCTCCTCCTGGGCTCGCTTCCGCTCTTCCTCCAGCTGGAGGGCCTTCTCAATCTGCTCGGAGAGCTCTGCAGAGAACATGGAGTCAGAGCTGCTCAGACTCCCAGGCAGGAAAGGAACCTTGGCCTTCCAGTCCCACCCAAAGTGGGCTGAAGGAGAGAAAGCCAAGCTCACAAAGCCCTGCGCCGAGTCACAGGGCGGCGAGCAGGGACAGCTCAGGGCTCATTCCTGCTGCTGTTATAAATTTCAGTATGGTTAGAGACCACTGAAGAGCAACTAGTCAGAAACCCTGTTTCCGGGCCAGGTCTGACCTTGCTACACCCTAATGGCACCATAGTCCCTAATGGCACCCTAAGGTGGAACACCCTTACAACTCACTCATCACCTGGACACTGACTCGGGACACAGAAATAGCCTGTGTTGTCCTTCCAAACACTGCCCCTCCCCCATTCTAAAATGTCCTCAGAGGGCAGGGCTGCTCCTGTGACCCTGGGACGTATGGTGGAGGTGCCACAGGCTGGCTGTGATTGCTGTGTATGTGCCGAGGGGACGTGGCATCTACCTCACTAGACTTGAACGTTCTCAGCGAAGTAGGGGGGAAAAGCTTTCTACCCTCAATGACGAAATTGTCATGGCTCGACCGTCTTAGGGGGATTGTGCTAAACAGACAGCACTCTTGAACAAGCTCCCTCTTGGCTGTGAGCCAGCCCTGCCCAGCTCTCTTGGGGGAACAGCCAACCCCTTAGTGACTGTGGGGGCAGGGTGGGAAGGGGAGGCGGCGTGACTGCTGACCTTTCTCGGCCCTCTTGGTCTTTTGCTCATAGTCCTGCAGCCGGAGCATCAGCTCCTCCTTCTCCCGGAGCATCTGCTCCTTTTCTCTCTCCACCGTCTCTCTCCTCTTTTTCTCCGTTTCCAACTGTTGTCTGGTGTGGGGAAGAGGCAGACATGAAGGAAGGGTGAGGTTCAGGCAGACCAGACCTGCAGACAAAGCTGCTGCTTGCTGCAGCAAGCAGAGGGGTGCCACAGCCTGTGCCTGATGGTGACGAATCAGGTGGCAACAGCTCACAGGACAGTCTCTGCTCAGACTGGGTCCCATGCTGCCAGGCTGTCTGTCTGCCTGGCGTCCCCGACAGGAGCTGTGTCCCGCCACAGGCCCCTCACTCACCGCTCCAGCTGCTTCTGGTGCTTCTCCTCCCGAGCCTGGGCCTTCATCTGCTGCACCTCAATGGTGTCGGGCTTCCTACGGCGCATGTACAGCTCATGGTTCCCCATACAGAGCTGCAGGATCCGCTTGTTAATTCTCAGGCGTGGGGCATAGAACACAAAGTCCTACAAAACAGAACAGGGTGGGCTCAGCCTCCTCTCCTTCAACAGCCTTCTTTCCCAAGACCACACTTCTCAGAGTTCATGAGCCTACCTCTAAAAGGCCAAAAGCCGCAGGCGATCAGAAATGTCTACTCCTCGTATGTGGAGTATTCACTCGGTGGGTCAATTGGGGGGGGGGTAATCTGTATATGTACATGCGTGTACATCCATTTGTATATGCGTGGTCTGCGTGCTGTGCCTAGCACAGGTGTGTCTATGCTAAATCTCCACCTACAGCGCTCTATCAAGAGGCCCCTCTCGCACTGAGAAAGCTGGTTCGGGTGTCTGCTTCTCCAGGCCCCCATCCTGTTACCAGCCATCCTTTCCTTTCCTGTTCCTGCATGTATGCTACCCCTCAACTTCTGAGCTTCCTGTCTCCTGCCAAGCCTGTCACCTGTCACACTGCTACAGACTGGTCACTGCCTTGATCTCCACTGCTCCAGATTCCTGGGCCAGAGATACACCACAGCCTTACAGCGCCAGCCCTAACACCGGTGTCAACTCCTGAGCTGCACTGTCGCGCCTCCGAGCATCCTGACCCAGTTCACCCCATCCACCCAATGATCCCAGCCCTGCTTCTGTGCCTGCTGTATCGGGTAGAGGGGTCTGCCACTGTGTTAGCATGGCACTCCACTGCCTAGCTCTGCATCTGACTCCCAGTTCCCCGAGAACAGGGGCCGTCCACTCATCTGTCTTTCTAGGACCAAATCAACACTCAGTAGTTACTGGTGCTCAACAAATATTTGCTGGGTGACAGCTGCTAATGCTCAGCACCACAGCTGAGTTGAGTTCTATAACCCAAGCAAGCCACTCCATCACTCAGCCTCGGGTCATGGAATGGGGGTGACAGTATAATGGAAACGTAAGTACTGGATCAGAGAATGTTCATAAGAGATTTAAGTAGGACCTGGGACAGGAAACACTGGCTGCCACGCACAGGGGCTACTAGTGCAAGCTGCCCTGTGTACTCACAATGCAAGCAGCTGCTTTCTCAGAGAGAGGGCAGAGCATGGTATTTGGAACTTTGTCACCAGTGGCTATAAGAGTTTTAGGGCCATGAAGATGGCAGACAGCTGTCTCCTAACTTCTCGCTCCTTCCAGAGCTAGTACAGGGACAGAGGGAAGGCACGGTCTATCTGGAAACGCCTCCTGGCTTTCCAGCCATCTGGAAGGAAGGTGATGGAAGCCAGCAGTGTGCATCCCATCCATGGCCACCTCAGAGACTGACAGCATGCTGGAACAGCCAAGGGACAGGCAAAGGGCAGCCCAGCTAGTCCCCCTTGTCTATGTGAGGCCACCTGGAACCCTCAACTTCCCGGGTGGGGCTCTGGTTTCACAGACTGGCTTTTCCTGGGAGGAGTCCATAGCACTAAGACAAGGAGGAATTTTTATGAGCCACCTATCTCTTATTACACAAGAGAAAACAACCTTGGCTCAAGGCTTCAGAGGCACACAGCCCAAAAATGTTCCACTGTGACTCACAAGTACGTGCAAGGAAATGCACCAACTCCCCTTCAGGAAAAAAAAAATCACAAAGATTCAAGAGTCAGAACTACAAGTTACAGGAGACTGCCTCAAACCCCGCCTGCAAGAAACGGACCCAGAAACTGGAAAACACTCTAGAGTTAGCAGCTGGCAAGCTGGATGGGTGAGGGGAGAGAGTTTCTCCCATGCCTTTGAAAGAGCCAGTTATGACTTCAAGTTAGAGTCCTGAGTTCATGTCCCCAACGTGCCTTTTAATGCAAAACAGAAGGGTCAAGGGGAGACTTTCTCAGTGGACAGGCAGTCCATGTACTAAAAACTAACAGCAGGCACAAGAAAAGCATGGAAAGGGGACCCCCAGACACCCCAACATCCTCTCAGGCAAAGAAGACAAGCCACGGCACACTCCCAGGAAGTTCCCATGAGGCCACAGCCCAATTCCAGGACCCTCTGTTGTGTCAGAGGGGCTCCTAAGAAGGCTGCTCTGAGCCTTCTGCTCAGCAGAGTCCAGATTCCTAACAGTTCAAAAGCCACTGAAGGTGCCGAGAGCTCTCTGCCTTTCCCTGGCTGCTTTAGGAATGGTAGGGCCTATTCTGAAGGAAAAGGTGACTGCTTGGCCCTTCACAGGCTGCCTGGGAAAGGAGATTGGAGATCTCACCTAAAAGTCAAAACCAGGCCCCAAAGTGCCTCCTGGCCCTCTAGAGAAGCTTTGTAAATTCCCAGGGTTCCCTTCACAAGGCTATACCCAGTAGGAAATCCTATGCCTCCTTCATCACCTTCAGGGTTTCTGCAGTCTTTTATGTCAAAGCCTAACGGTGAAAATGTGACTTTCTTGTGCACAAAGTAAAACACTGGGACTGGGCATGGCTACTCCACAGCCCTGGAGGGGTAGGGAGAGTCACCTGATCACTGCCTCCTCCATCAGCTCCCGAGCTAATGCTGCCACAATTCGGGCCTACACTGAAAGGCCCAGCTATCCCCTTCTCTCTCCTCAGCCGGTGTCACTTTTCCTCTAAGAGGCATTGTTAGATTCACCGTGAGAATCCTACTCTTTGCCTGGTTTTAGCGCTTTTCCCACCACGATGCAGACCTGTGACTGCCCATGTCCACGGGTCAATCCTGGAACACAGCCAGAGGGCGTGTGCTGGGGGAGGGGTGTACCGATGTCATGAGGTCTTCCTCTATAGCTCTCCCTCCCCACTTTTTTTTTTTTTTTTTTTTTTTTCCTGAGGCAGGGTGTCCTCCAACCTGGAGCTCAGAAACTGAGCTAGACTGGCTGGCCACTGAGCTCCACGGAGGCGCCTGTGTGAGTCTCACCTTCCCCTCAGCGCTGGGGTTCCAGAACTGCACCTGGCGCTGATGTAGGCACTGGGACCCAGACTCAGGGTCTCATGCTTCTCAGCAAGCATCTCCCCGGCACCCATTTCTTTAAAGCTTCCCACAGGGCTGCTGACAGTGGCCTTGTGCGCACTAATTTAATCACACCAACCATGGCTGCCTCTGCATTCTTTCGATTTTCCAAAGCTAAAATGTATAGCAACGTGCAACACCCTGGCCCTAAAGACCTCCTCTATTGTCAGCTGAAATAAAAAGAGAAAAAAAAAAAAAAGTTCTGCAAATGTATCAGCACCACACTGAGCAGAAACCAAGCTCCCCAGACTTCAGAATTAATTGCCTTGCTTTTCAAGCCACGCCACCTCACTGCCCACAGAACATGGGCTCGCTGTGACCCTCGGCTAGTGGGGCTGCATACTGATGGCGCCATCACCATGGAGCCCGAGTCTGTAATAAACACAGTGTAATTTTAAAGAACCATGCGAGTGCCAGTGGAGTGGAGGGGTCACAAGTTTACAAACAGCAGGAAACATTTCAATAAAATACTTACACAGCCAAGTCCAGAGAGACCTGCTGACTTTACAATTCTGATTGCCTAGCCCATGTGGGGGGGTGGGAGGATGGGGGAGGCAGGGCGTAACTGGCAGTACCAGAGTGTTCCAAGTGGCTCTGCCATTGCCAGGCGGCCCTCAGCCCTAAGAGGCTTAGCAGACATCTACAGTACGGTCACAGCACATGTTTGCTCTAAGGTAACCACTGTAACTAGGTAACAAAAAGGGGGGGGGGCGGGGCGGACACACAGACTCAAAGTCTTTCCCAACCTAGAACTGTGGTAAAAACCAGAGCAAACTCTTAAAACACACACATACTTAAAAACAAAAAAATGCCTCCAAATTAGAAAACAGAATTCTTGCCATGTCCACCGTGCTACAGTTGTATCCATATGTCTTCAATATTCTGAGCTAACATCAGCTAAAAGTTTACGTGTTGGCAGAACAAAACTCAAATAAACCCAAAGAAGCTAAATAACAAGGAAGGCCTAAGGGAAGGTGCCAGAATGTCACAACGAAGGGGAAATAGAATAGACGGCAGACGTGGATGAAGAGCAGGAACTGGGGAGGGAGACAAGGATGGAGATCAGATGTGGGGAGAAAAGGGGTAGGAAGTAAGAGGGCTGGGAACAAGAAGGGAAACTGAGGGGGACATCTCTTTGTCAAGCTGGAGGCCTGCAGCAGGGTAGGGTCCTGGGAGGACATGGGTTTGACTCTAGCTGAGACTCCTAACCGGAGGGGGTGGGGGAGGAATGAAGACTGAGGTGACCACCTCCTAGCCAGGCAGGGCTAGTGGAGGGAGGGGAGCAACAACCCACTGACAAAATTTGATCCAAAAATCAACCTGCCTACAAGTGCAGGGATGAAGGGAAAACAAAGATTGAGGAAATATCCAACCAATGACTGGCCCAATCTGAGACCCACCCCACGGCAGAGAGCCAGCCCCTGACACTAATAATGATGCTCTGCTATGTTTGCAGACAGGAGCCTCACTTGACTGTTGTCTGGGAGGCTCCAGCCAACAGCAGATCGAGACAGATGCTGGGACTTGCAGCCAAGCATGGGGTAGAGCTCCAGGGGTCCTGTGGAAGTATTGTGGGAAAAAGATGAAAGACCTGGAGGGGACAGGAACCTCACAAGAAAACCAACAGAGACAGCTAACCGAGTCCCATGGGGGCTTACAGAGACTGAGACATCAACTAAGGAGCATGCATGGTAAGGACCTAGGCCCCCTGTACATATGTGGCCGATGGTGGCTTGTTCTTTAAATGGGGGACGTGTGGAGGGGGAGGGGCCTGTTTCTAACATGGACTCTGTTGCCTGCTTCTGGCAGCACTGCCTTGTTGCCTGGCCTCAGGGGATGAGGATATGCTCAGCCCTGATGTGACTAGATGTATAGAGAGGGTGGATACGAGGGAGGCTCCCCTTTTCTAGATAAAAGGGGAGAAGGGAAGGGTGAAAGAGGGGAAAGGGGAGAACTGGGAGGAAAGGAGGGAGGGGGCACCCTTGGGATGTAAAATAAACTGAAAAAAAAAGTGGAGAAAAAAACCTCAACATTTCATAATCCATTGGTCATTTCAGCTCTTACTTTACACTCTGCTTCCCACGTGGGCAGAGCACAGTGACTGAGTAAAGAGCATGTGGTGGACAGACTGACCACAGGGGAAAGGTGAGGTGCCCCAAGGTAAGGAGGAAGCAAGAGGGAGAGTAGAAACCTGGGGACCACCAGGCTCTGAAACACTTGGAATGTTTGGCTGTTAAGCCCAAAGCCTTACAGAAAGCCCCATTTTTGTTCTTTGGACTTGAAAGTCTTATTATCTATGCTCCAAACAGCCACTGAGGAGACACTAGCACGAGCTCCACCCACAAGCTGGTATCAGGGGTAGGCTGGCTGCCCACACGAACATTGGGCAAGCTGGGTGCGCCTCGGCAGAATTGTGTCATTTTGGGAAATGCTTATCCTTGCTTGGTCAAGGTCGATGAGAACTGAGAACTGCCTTTTCTCTGTATGAAGACTAGGATTACATCATGTAGCTTTGGATGGCGCCATCTGGTTTCCATAGCAACCTCCCACTGCAGTGTCAGTCCTGTGACTCAAAGATCTCTGAGCTTCTATTAGAGGGAAGCCTGAGGAACACTGCCTTCTCAGGACACTGGGGAGCCTCAGTGTTCCGAAAACCCAGTCAGCTATGAGACCATAAGCAGTGACCCGGTCTACACTTGAACTTACAGGTGCCTTTTTGTCGATGGGCTTAATGACAAACTTCTTGTCATTGAAAGAGATGTTCCTGATTTCACTCCAGGGAAAGCCGATCTTCGGGGTCAACCTGAGGTTATAAAAAGAAAAGCAGCAGTAAGTTAGATACAGGTACAGATACAGATACACACAGACGCACACACACACACACACACAGACACAGACACAGACACACACACAGACACACGCACGCACGCACGCGCGTGTTCTTGGACTGAGAGACCTTAGCAAACCTCTCAATTTAAAATACAAAACAAGCCCAAGAAGTGTAATTAAAACAACAACAACAAAACACACCACGTTTAAACCGCCTTTGCCATCCCAGGTTCAAACAGATGTAGGAGTAACTTTGGTGCAGCCACTTTCTAGCTTTTCTGTCTCAGGTGGCTGCGGTGTGTCACCCCTGGGTCACCTTGTGGTAAAGGATTCTTAATGAGGACTATCTTCTGTCCTGTTTGACCTTCTTCCCTGGCACCCAAACCCCCACACGTCTGCACTACCCATCTTCTCACACGGCCAGAGCCCACGTCCATCCTGCTGGTCTCATTATTCCCTATCAGCCAGCCAGTTCTCTCTTCAGATATGTAACAGAGTTTTTACTCACCCGAGAGCATCTCTCAGCTCTAAAACTACACTGCTGCCGACACGTTTCCTTGTCCTCTCCCCCTTCTTTCCTCTCCAACAGCAACCAGTGAAGTGTTAAGTCCATGCTACTCCAAGCGTTATAAAGACACGCCTGGTGTTCCATATGGGCCTTCCTCACAGAGAAGGTGCTGACTCCCGGGGTGGGCAGGGGTGTTTTCCACCCTCCGGCTCTCATCCCGGCCAGGCACATGGCCTGGCTAGATGCTGCCCTGTCAGAGACTACACAAAAGCCCTATTTGGCCTCACTACTCAACGTCATTACCTCACTGGCCTCAATTCGGACTTTTCCATCAAGAGATGTCAAGACCACACTGCTTTGCTTAACTGTGTCCCACCCTACTCTCCAACACCTTACCAGAATAAGGCCGGATTCTAAAACAGACTCTCTAAACCACAAGTACTGCCATCAAAAACAGTCCTGGGTCAGGGAGATGGCTTAGCAGGTGAGGTGTTCTCTGCCTAAGTGTGAAAATTAGAGTTCGGGCTTCAAATCCACAGAACTCATATGAAAAGCACCGTGGCTACAGAGAGAACAGGAAAGCTGAGTTCCCCTGGCCTCCAGACTAGCTTCAATGACAGACCCTGTCTCAGCGGGATAGTGAAGCGTGATCAATCATGACACCTGATGTCCTCTGGATGCTGTACACACAGCCACACCCATGTGTGCGTACACCACCCACGCATTCTCTCTCTCTCTCTCACATACACACACACACACACACCTAAAATAAAAATAGTTTTGAAACCTCAGTCATTTCCTATGGTTTCCACTTTGAGCAGATGACAGCCTGGGGTCTGGGGTAGAATTCAGTGCCTAACATTAACGGGCAGGACGGGTCCTCCTTTGGCAGTGAAAGCTGGGTCAAAAACCCAAGGTAGCCTCTGAAGGCCACAAGAAGACTTCTAAAGACGCACGGCAGGTGGCTTCCAGGGACAGTATCCAGGGCACCGCAGAAGCTGTAGGACACTGGGCAGCCTGGTGTATGCGCCAGGCCTTTGGCCTGTCTTCACTGATCTCTCACCTTTGCTGGTAACCCCATGCTAACATGCGCCACGGCGTCAAACGCAGCACAGCCGTACCCTCACCATCACCCCTGGGATCCAGGGCTTTCACCAATATAGTCTTGCTGACAAGTCGAAGAACACTTGAAATACAGCTATGACCTGGCACTGCTACCATCTTCTGCCTATGTCCCCCTCACAGGGAAAAGCTGCAGCTGCAGCTGCTTCTGGAACACTTACCCCAGACCCTAAGAGCAAAAGCTGGCCACAGAAGAGCTAGGAATCAGGAGACAGTTACTCAGCCCATAACCGCATGGCCACACAGCCAGGTCAACAACACCGACTCCCCAATCCCACGGAGGCCAGGCTCTGTGCTGCAGCTCCTGTCTACAAAGGTCTCTAGTTTCTGACCTAGAAACGCCAGGCCTGCAACCTCAGCTGGTGTCTGTTTTCCAAAGGCTGGGTCCAGCATGGCCCTCAAGACTCTGACAGCCCACACGTGTAACAAGCCGGAGCTGCTCTTAAGTGTAACTGTGGTACCAAGCAGGGGCTAAGCGTGAAAGCGGTGACTCACTTCTGAGTTAGAGAACCTCTTTTACTTCTTAACGAGTTGGAAAATGAAAGCCTACGAGGATCCTCTTTTCCTCTCTCTGTCTAAAGAGAGATCGCATGTAAGATGTGAGCGTTGTCCACCCAGAAGGCTGTCGCAGGATTTATGTGCCTCATGTGTCACCCGCTTAAAAGCTGGGGAGAAGAGTTGGGCATGGAGGTTTATGCCTAGATTCCAGCACTCGGGAAGCTGAGGCAGGAGAATGGCAAGCTCTAGGGTAGCCTGGTCTACTTCTAAGCCCTTGAATTGGAGGAGGAGAGGAACAGGAGGAGGAGGAGGAGGAGGAGGAGGAGGAGGCGGCGGCGGCGGCGGCTAATGATGATGAGACTTCTCCTCCAAGAACCGGAGGAATGTGGAGATGGCTCATTGCTGGACATGCACAGAACAGGGTAAGGACGCCTCAGCACGATGGGGTCACTCGTAAAGAACACGTGTACCAATGCCAAGGTCTTCTACGTGCTGAATCCCGAACAACCTCATTAACAAAATAAACCCTACTGCGAACAAATGCCCACAAGTTCACGCTAATACAGAGAACCGAATAAACAGAAAAAAAGCTGGTCCCTTCCAGTTTACCGTTTTTTTTTTTTTTAAATATACTTGTTAAAGATTTATTTATTATCTACACAGTAGTCTGCCAGCATGTATGCCTATGTACCAGAAGAGGACACCAGATCTCATTATAGAGGGTTATAAGCCACCATGCAGTTGCTGGGAATTGAACTCAGGACCTCTGGAAGAGCAGACAGTGCTCTTAAGCTCTGAGCCATCTCTCCAGCCCCAGATTGCCATTTCTTAAGACAGTACTAATCCCAGGAAAGTTCTATCCGTGAACATTAGAATCAATAACTGAAAGTTTAAGAACGAGTGTCAGTAAGCACAGAGCTTCACAGAATCTCACCAAAATGTATTTACCAGCTACACTGAAAGGACAGACATGTCAGAAGGGTCCCGGCCGGCACTGGCTCATCCGCTGGAGGCTGGCCTGACCTAACGACACCACACGTCGCTTTGTGGGAGGCCCTGAGGCACTTTTGTGGGATTCTCACCCAAAGTGCAAAACTCAAATCTGACTGTGAGCAAATCTCAGGCAATGCAAGCTGCAGACTTTCCAAAGCAGCAATGACAAAGACCACCTCAGTCCAGCCCCAAGGACAGCTGTGCACTGTGTCGACGCTGGTTAGGTTTTGGAAGCGGAAACAGCTGTTAGCAGAACAAGCAGAACAGAGACCCACAGACTGTCACCACAGGGCAGCGCCACTAGTATTCTAATGGTTACACCTGGGTCTGCCGATGTTAGAGTCGGAGGATGATGGGTAAAAGGTGTATGGGGATTCCTCATACTATTTAAAACTTGAGTCTGAAACAGCTTTTTTATTTTTTTAATTTTTCAAGTCAAAATCCGCAGCTCTGAAGATGATAAATATTCTTTGTCTTGGTAGAATTTGTGATTTTTTTTTTCAGGTGTATTTGTCAAAATTCAGCAATTAAAATACAAGGCTGTGTTTTATTACCCTTCAATCTGTGTTTCCATTTCTTGGGATGAGTACAGATTCCACAACTCATGGGGAGACATAACACCAGCTCTAGGCTAGAGTGCTCCAGGCCAGAAAGCACTACTCTAGTAAGCCTTTCTCAGTGAGCAAGTAGCTGGAACACAGTCTCCAACCTGTCCACAAGCTTCCCAGGTCCCGCTCTCCTAAAGATGTGAAGCCCTGAGCCAGGCTGCCCACACAACCACCTCATGACAGAGTGACACAGAAAGTGGTTATACTAAGGGAGTGGGGGATAGTCGCTGGCCAAAGACTACGGATTTGGGCAGCCTCGGCGTCCTCAGTTTTAATTTACCTTTGGGTCAGAGTGTTTTGGTATAAGAGTGTCAGGAGGAATTATAATCCAGCTCATCTGGACTTCTGTAAATAATGCCTAGGAGAGTGGGGGGAGATTTGGCCTAGTTTCCCCTCGTCTTCCCAAGCCAAGGGTTAGAGAAAGGGAGAGACAAAGGCCTTTGGAATCCACGCTCCCATTGAACTGTGTGACATATAACCATAAAAAGGGGGTCCTGGGAGACATTGCCCAGCCAGAGCCCATTTAATTTCAAAAAGGCTAGGATAGAGATATATCTGTTTATTTGCGTATCAGATTGCCCTTATTAACAATGCATCAAGAATATCCAATCCCACCATTAGCTCTATTGGTGAAGGATGCAATCCGATACCCTGGCCCTTAGAGCCCTGGTCCCTGGGAGCCCAGAACCGTCTCTAGCAGCTACTGCAAACTGGGAAAAAGCGGAGCTGTCAACTGATTCAATGCCTACTTAAACGCCTTTCCTCTGAGGAGCGGGTGTGCCTTCTTTAGAAGGTTTGGTGACGGGGCTGGGCCTGCTGCCCGCCACTGAGAACCACTGCCGAGAATGGCAGCTGGCTGCTGAATGGGAGCCCGAGGGGCAACGGGAGGGCCCAGCACAGCACAGCTCAAAATTTACGTGACATTTCTGTGAACTAAGGTGGTTACAGACTGACATCAGCAAGTTCCTGCCTATCGCTGTTTCTTACGGCTAGAAAAACCTGTTTGGACAGCCCTTGCCAGGGCTTGTTACAAAATCTGGCCACTCAAAAATGGAGCTGAAAGACAGAGGCAGTTTCCCACATGCATTTCCACAAAGACCAGGCAGGGCCCTGTGCTCTGACTTTCTGGTGCCAGGCTGGGGCTTTTTGGCATGGTGACAGTTCATGGGCCCGGCCTCCACTCCGAGACAGAGGAAGGTCTGCGGGCTGGCTCTGAGAGCGCCCTCCATAGCTCCTCTGGACAACAAGGGTTCAGGGTGCCTGGGACGTCCTGAATGGTTCTAAATGTCATTCATTCACTCATTCATTCCTTATTTTAGACAGGGTCTCACTGTGTATCTCCTACTGGCCTTAACTTCACAGAGTTTTGCCTCCTCAGCACTGGATTAAAGGTGTGTGCCACCATGCCCGGCCACTAGCTGCATTCTTTATGTGCATGTCATTTGCTATCAGCAGGGCCACTCTCCTTGGTGACTCCAGAGAGACCCTGGGGACAGGGTGAGTGAGAGATGGGGAACTGGCAGGAGTTGAGGGAGGGCGGCACACCCTGACGCGCTTCACGGGGCTTGGCTGCATCTCAGGGCTCTAGGCCTCCATTTCACAAACCTGTCCTATGAATTGGACATCAAGAACCTGAGGCATCCTGTGTCACACCTCCTCGGCCAGAGCCTGTCCCCTGCGCTCAGGCTCACCTGGAGCGGCTCACCTGTGGTAAAGTGGGCCGATTTCTCGCCGGTGGGAAGAAGGCGGCCCAGGGATGGAAACCTGCAGCTGACAAGAGGCTCCCAGTGCCAGGCAGCTGTCTGTCTCGGCTCACAGACCTAGCTCGACAGGGTAATGGCTGTGAAGCAATTAGACACCTTGTGCAGGCTCAGGGGATTTAGCTAATTGTTCAGACTCGAAGGCTGCTCTGCTGCTTACAGGATCCTGGGGTGTCTGGTGGCATTATCAACATTCCTGGTTGGATTAGCACAAGCCTGCAGCCAGGAGTCCACTCTGGCTAGCAACAGCCTAGGAACAGCCGTGGAGGGGGAAGTCATTTGTCTCTCTCTAATTCGCAATGCTCAGGGCCCTAAAGTCACCGCATTCTGGGCCCTCCCTTGCCACAGGCTCCTTGTAGTGTGGAATAGCCTGGGATGGACAAGGTGCTAACTTCCAGGCCTCCACATAAGATGCTTCCACACAGTCTAACACATGTACACATGTAGACACGTACACACACACACACACACACACACACACACACACACACACACTCTGACACTTCACCTGTTTTCCAGGCTAAAATCAATGATCAACTCCAACTCACTTGTCATCTTTCTCGTAGATATTTAGTCCAAGGGCATCAACTCCAAGCCAGAGATCTGTTCCTTTCTTATTCTTGATCTCAAAATAGTTGATCCCATACATTTCCAGGTCCTGGGCAATCTTCAGGTATTCCAGCATAGCACTGTCCCTAACGGGAAAGAAAACAGAGGTGTTCCAGTTAGCAGCATTCACCCCCCGCCCCCCAGCCTCTGCTTATGCTGGAAATGCAGGCCAGTCATGTGGAGTAGACATGGAGACATGTGGAGGTATGACGGACAGGCAGGTGAGGTGTGGAGCACCAAGGCAGCCAGACAGCCTGTAAGCAGCTACCTGAGAGGGGCCTGTGCTATCCTGAGCCCTGGAATGTATCCATCCCACACATTCAGGAAGAACAGACTGATCTGCTCTGGCTTCTGAGGAGACAGACTTCCTTCTTTTTATTCTCTTGCTAGGATAACCCTGTTTCTTGCACTCATGGAACAACCTGGGATCCAACAAAGGACAATCAAAGGCTCCTGGCCTACTCAAGGTCTCTGTGGCACAGTCCCCAAGCCCCAAAACTGCCAGGAAGTAGTGAGGGCTGTGCACAAGGCCAAAGGCAGGGACTGGTCTTCATTTGAGTGCCCTAAAGCCCCGCTCCTGTCCCTCAAGCTTCACTGCCCTTCTAACACGCAGCCCACGCTTACGTCATGATTAGTGTCGAATCAATAACTTTAATAAGCAAGTGAGCTGACGAGGGGTGGGAGACCCCACCCCTGTGGCGATCAGTGCTCCCCTCAGCGAATGTAGGCCCTGGCCTTCCCTCTGAAGGGACGGGTAGAGCCAGCTGAGGGTTCAACCGCGTTGCTTCCTCCCCCAGGCAAGACCACCAGGCCTTGTTTAAAAAAACACAACTCAGACAGTCTTCTCCCGAGGGAGCCCTGCTTGTCTGTCTCGAACTTTACCAAGCACGAAGACCAAAAGCTGACCTCTCCAAGAGTGCTGCCCGGAGTCCCATGAGAAGAGAAGCTGAAGAGGCCCCACTCACTTGAGCATTCCCCGGTGCTCCGCGTGCCACACCTGGATGCGGTCCTCCCACTGGTCCCTGGTGAGCTTGTGCTGGTCCATGACTCTGGGATTCAAAAAGAGAAACATGGGCCTGTCAACTTTCAGGGCTGTGAGCTGTGAGCCACGAGGCCACTTCCCACACACTTTTTTTTTTTTTTTTAATATTTTTTTCCCTGGGTCCTCTGGAAGAGCAGTCAGTGCCTTTAAGTGCAGAGACATCTCTCCAGGCCAACCTTCTCCCCATTACTGTTCTTTTGAATGAGACCATCATGGCAAGTTTTTGTTTCTTCTGGTTTTCTTTCTTGAGCATAAACCTAAAGGTTTAACCTTTCAATGAATACAATCCCACTGGAAGTCTTTAAAAAATATTTTAAATGACCTTTTCTTCCAAAGGGGGTATCTTTTTTTTTTTGTCGCCATTAGTAAGAAAAGACAGGCTTGCCAGAGGCCAGGTTACTGTATACCTGGCAGGTCAGAAGGGGCCTGGTCAACAGACCCATGAGGAAGGGACAGTTAATCATCAGAGGAACGTGCTGGCTCAGAACATTCCAAAGGGAGCACTCAGGAAAGTACCAGCCTAAAGTTCACTGGACCTTGACACAGTTCCCTGCTCCCTTTCACACCTCTCTCCTCCCTGGGCCGGGGCCTGTGCTCACCCAGGCCAACCTCAGCTCACCTCTGAGGGATCAGCCGCTCAGAGCTGAGGTACCCAGCTTTGTGCATTTCCTTGTTATAATCTCCGAACTTGGCCTGCACTGCATAGGAGCCCAGCAGCACGGCCGTCTCTGGGGGGCAGTAGATCTCATCGCTGAGGATGCCCTCCTTGACCTGAAGGAAGAACAGCTTCTGCGTGATGTCCTGGATGAGCTCCTCAGCCACATCCTCGGGGTAGAACTTGGCCCGGAATTTGAACTGGACGGGGTTCTCCTTCCGAACCTCCTGTGCAGAGACCTATGAGACAGACGGCAGTGCTCAGAACCAACTCCAGGCCATCAATGAGCACCAGTGACTCAAAATTATCACATAATCATTGCTGTCATCATTCGAGAGTATCCCAGATGTCGCACTATGGAGGGTGGTCTTGAATTTCTGATACTCCTGCCTCTACTCCTGAGTCCTGGATTGCGGGACCCACCATGCCTGGTTTACATAGGGTTTCATACCAGGAAGCAACTCAGCCACATTCCCTCGCCCTGGAATCCACTGCTGTAGCCTGAGGCAAGCAGGCAGGCAGTCCATAACAGCCCCCCATGCTGGAAACCCAGCTACTGGGCTGCAGGACCACTCTCCCCATCCTCATTTCTTGGGAGCATGCTTTCAAACTGCAGGGAATTCATTTAGGAGTGATGCATGTCCTTCCTGTTATGCACGGTCCTAAGGCTGGTCTGGTCCTGGACCATGAATGTCATGACCCTCCCTCACCCTCCTTACAGTAACATGGAAAGTGAGGTGGGGGAAAATGCACAGCCTGCCAAGGGTCTGAAGAAAATACACTTAGCTGATGATTTCATTACTGGGAGTAGGGTTATCTAATCTTTGGAGCTAGAAGATAATTTACTATAGTCTCAAACAGAGCAGCATCAGGTTCTGACAATATGATGGGTGACTCATAAAAAAAACAAAACTAAGGCCAACTAAAAATGAAGCAGTTAACCATTTCCTGCCTTGAAGAGGGCGCCAGGAGGAGGGGTGAGAATTAGCCGAGATCTAATTCTATTCCATATTGTCCCTTCCTGGAAGCCTGTAGCCTCTGTCTACAAAAACTTTATATAAATAACAAGGAACAAAAAGACAAAAATGCAGTTAAAGCATTCTGGCTTTAAACAGAATCGGCTTCCGATTAATAGCCCGTAAATAGTTAACTCTACTTACCTTTTTATCAAGTTTCAACCAGGTAGGAAATCCTTTATTGTCCACATACTGGAGACCAAAGTACCACACTTCCCGGAGGCCGATGGTCTTTACCACCTGCGAGAGAGAGCGAGAGGCCCACTGTGAGAGAGAAACCCACTCAACACAGGCAACAGCAGGTTCCCCCATGAGCTCAGCAGGCCCCAGAGACTGACACTGTGGTACAATGAACAGGACTAGAGTCTCAACCTTAACCTCTGAGCCACAGATGTCAGGTGAAAACACAAACGACACATTTTTAGCCTGAATCTGGACAGACTCAGGGTTATCTAAGTTTTACAAACTCTCACCCAAAGCCCCTTGCTTCAGGCTGTGGTGAGAGCACAGAACCACCAGTCCATCTCCAGGAATGTCCAGGCACACTGCCCCGCACCAGGGCACCCAGGTGGGAGATGGCTGTTAATAACCAGCACAACACTTGATCCATCTTCCCGTAAGCCAGCTGGAGTCTACCTTCCTGAGGACAGGCAAAGGCCCTTGGCAGGGAGTAGGTGGCACTGGTTCCAGGGTTGTGAGAGCAATGGCTAGGGGCCATGTTCACATGTCAACAGCCTCCAGAAACGTGAAATCCTCATCGCACGCTAAGATCTCAATCCAAAACTGTAGCAAGAACACCACGAGGGGGAAAGCTTCCTGTGTTATGTCGTTAAAGTTCTCCAGGCTGGTTATCCTAACGAGTGTCTTGGGGACAGAAAAGCAGTGTCCAAACATCTTAATCCAAACATCATCTGGATTAAGTCCCCGAGGGAGGAGAGGTGGCAATGTGGTTAAGAGCAAATGCTGTTTTTGCAGAAGGCCTGAGTCTGGTTCCCAGCACCTAAGTCATGAAGCTCACAACAGCCTGCAACTCCACCTCCAGGGGCTCTGACCCCCCTCTTCTGGCTTTTGCAGGCACCTGCACTCATATGCACGCACACACATGTAATTAAAAAAATAAATAAATAAAAGAACTAAGTCCCAAATCTTAGATGTTGTGATTTTAAATGCCATGACTGGCAACATTAAACCTTTAGAAAAGGTTTCCATGCTTCTCAAGAGTTCCTGTGAAGTTTAAGGTAAACACACTAGACTGACAGGAAGCCAGGTGTGATGGTATCTAGCAATCCCACTTTAAGAGGCGTGAGGCAGGAAGGTGGGGGTTAGAGACCTCCCCAGATACACAAGGCAACGGCTTAAATTAAGCCTGAAATCTCCAATAAAACCCTGGCCACACCTGTTACCTTCATTTGTAGGGGGCAGATGCTTGCTACCACTCCAGAGTCTCTGCTTATTAACTGCCAAGGGCTGCCCTGTTCATTTTCTCCCTCTACTCGCCTACAGAACAGCAGGGATATACCAAATCCGTGAAGGAATTCGGTCTCTTTCACAGTGCTCTGCTCCCAGGGCCATGTGAAGTCCATGCCCTTTGTGCTGAGCGCAGATGTCCTACCCAAAAACCCGCGCCTTATCTGAGGTGACACAAGGTTAAGGTTGCACAGGAAAGTCCCACACATGCTAACAAGCAGGCGCTGGCACTAATCTTTCCACCCCATCTACCCTACTGCAGCTCCCGCCTAGACCTGAGCGGCTAGTCAGAGCTTCCTGTCCATCTGACCTGCTCCTCCACTGCTCTGAGTCCTCTCCTGCGTCTGTGTGGATGGACAGACATGCCAGTCTGCAAGCATCCAGCACAGCCAAGGCCAGCACACTCAGTGACGTGCCGTCCGCCTCTTACCGTTCCTGGTAAATGGTCTTCAGTGTTTCGTTTCAGAACTTGGGCTTCCTATCCCCTCCACAATACCATATTAAACAGCTTGCGCCATTCTGAAACCACCCCATAGGTCACAGGTCCTCCCTATAGGGGAATCCCACACTCCCACGAAGCCATCCGTTCCCACTGCCCTGGGAAGGGTCTGCATGACCAGCTTTGGACGGCAAGGACAGGGATGCCTGATCAGTCAACCCCAAGCAGCAGCTGAAGCGCTGTGTCCCAGCCCTCCTGTCCCACAGAACATCCAGGGCCAGTTCTTGCTCCGTCTGGCTCTCCAGCTGCAGCCCAGACTGAGAGGGAAGAGGCTTCTGCAGAGGCAGGATGGTGGGCGCTGACTGACACAGTGAGGGTGATGACACAGTGGGGTGCTGACGTGGTCCCTTTCGATTGGCTCTATCAGGCTAGAGGGTTGTTCTGGAACAAGCTTCTTCTACCTTGGGTTTATGACTATGGTCCTTTCTCCACTCACACTACAGTTCCCTGCTCTGCTCTGAAAGCAGTTCTGCCTTTGGGCCCAGCACTGGATTACAAGGAATGGTGGTGCTCAAGAGCCAAAGCTGGGGCCGGGCAGAGCGCTGCTCAAGCTCAGGTCCTGGACGCAGTGCCTCCCAGTGTTCAGTGCCTGTGTCCAGCTTCTTCTGGGGCTCTTTCAGGTGACCCTTTTAGATTTCATTCTTCATCCAGCCTCACCCTGGAGCAGAAAATATCTAAAATCTCACTAGAAGAGAACAACCTTCAAATAATAGTGACTGACAGCCCGGACCCACACCCAGCCCTGCAGAACAGGTCTGGGCATGCCCTGGCACCAGCGTTCTGCTGCAGGGCCACCTTGCTCTACCCTGTGTCACTTTCCAGAGAAGACTGGATTGAGCATGGGCAGTGAGCGGCACCTGGAGCCTCCAACGGTGCCGAAATCCCCTTCCCAGGTCTCCTCAGCGTCAGCAGTCCCATCTTCTGGTTTGGACCTTGAATGCTACGTGCCACCCCTGAGGCAGTGGGGCCACTTGGAATGACAAGCTCTGGGGAGAGATCAGGTGCTGTGTGACTCACCTTTGGCCTTGTATGCCAAGACCCTTTTCTACTCTCTAGAATTTGCCCTCCTTCATCTCTGCCATTCACCTCAGGCTTAAGGAGGTATGGGCACACTTCCCCTGCCACCTCCCAAAAAAAGGTTTCTGTAGACCCCACTGAGGGCCCGGATGCACTGAGCAGCATTACACAGGCATCTTTGGTCATCCCTCCCCTACTGTCTGGGCCCATTTAGTCTATGAAGTCGGCACAGAACAAGGAGCCGAAAAGGGTTTTCTCCAAGCCCTGCACCACAAGATGGGAACAAGGGGTGATCCCTCTCTCCATTCTATGTGAGAGCCGTGCAGAACATTCCGGAAAAGCTGCTTTCCAAAACCAAGTGTTTGGCAGAGGAACCGCCTGCTGGAGCCGGCTACCTGAGGTATTTTGTTAAGAAACAGAACACAGGATATTCTGTTTCCTCACAAAAGCAAGAGGGACCACAGGGCGATGCACTCAGAACCACAAGGTGTCAGATGCGCTCTGCCCTGTCCTTGTCACAGTGCTCACATTAGCAGAGCTGCTTCCGTCTGGACCCCAGAAGAGGAGTCTAAACAAGGCGGCAGCAGACAGCCTCTACCAGGCTGGACGCCAAATCTTTGGCCTGTGGACTATCTGTGTGGCCCACAAGATAAGAATGTGGTTCTCTTCTTTTGTTTTGTCTTGTTTTCTTTTGTCTCTTTGGAAGGTTCAGGAAATCCCTTTTAAAATTCAGTGCCCCATATAGTTTTTATTTGAACAAGGTCATGCTCATTCAATTCACGGATTTGTGGCCAATTTCAATAACAGTGGAAAGAATGAACAGTTACAACACAGACCACATGGTCTTCGAACCTAAAAGACTGCCTATCTAGCCCCTCTGCAAAAGAGCCTTGCTGACCCTGACACACAGCTGTCGGACAACGCTAACTAATGCTTTCTAGTCCACTTTGGGAAGGGCTGAGCCATTTGACAAAACTATATTTGGAGTAGTGGTGCTATGAACAAGGCCGGTTACCAAATGAAAGCTATCAACTAAGAATAGCTAGCAAAAAGACCCGGCTTTCCAGGTATCTCCAAGTGGATGCCATCGTGAACCAGAACAGCACTCAGCTTTCTCAAAGGCCATTTTCTTCTGTCAACCTCAAGGGAACAAAACAAGTCAATCTGCTTAGAAGACGAAAGGACTGGTCCATCACAGACCTGTCCTAAGCGGTCAGTTCCCTCCCAACGTAAGAGACTGACCTGATCAAACAGCTGCTTTCCAGTGGTGTTCGGCTGGATAGCAAACTCCAGCTCTGCATCCATGGTGGTCACCCGGACATTGATCTGGAAAACAGAAAAGAATAAAAACCCTTAAACTTCCCCGAATCTTCTCCTGGCAGCCTCCCCCCCTCTCCCTCTTAAACTGTTTGGCAGTCGTACAGAAGCTGCACACTCTTACCACGTCTTCACGCCAATCACAAAACACCAGCCACAGACCCAAAATGAGGGACAGCTGGCAGAAGTAAGGTTCAGCAAGTACAGGTTCTGGGCATCAATAAAGCATGTTCATGTTGAGGTCTGCAAAATCTTTTTCCCCCCCAACACAGGGTTTCTCTGTGTAGCCCTGGCTGTCCCGGAACTTACTCTGTAGACCAGTCTGGCCTCGAACTCGCATCGATCCACCTGCCTGTGCCTCCCGAGTGCTGGGATTAAAGGCGTGCGCCACTGACGCCCAGCTAGGTCTGTAAAATCTTCAATAACACCTTTCCCCATACACTATCTCATGACCCCCATAACCGCAAGCTGAGGGAGACTGGGCTCCTGAGGTGCCAGCTGGAGGTTCACACCAAGGCAAAGCATACAGGAGGGAGGAGGGGCTATGTGCCTGACAGTTTGGTGACATTAGTAACTGACAGAAAAATGGTACAATGAGTGAAGATCAAAGAGGATAGAACACCATGCAGCCATTTAAAATGCTAAAGCAGAAACAAGAAAAAGGACGATTGAAATTAAAATTGTGATAAGCAAGCGGTATAGAGTCTATCCACACTAGCTCATATGGTAGACATGAGAGCAAGTAGAGGAAGCTCCATTAGAATGGTACCTCACAAACACTCCCGGGATCTGAGGTGGTCCAGGTGATGGGGAGGACCTGAACTGAGGGGGTCCAGGTGATGGGGAGGGCCTGAACTGAGGGGGTCCAGGTGATGGGGAGGGCCTGAACTGAGGGGGTCCAGGTGATGGGGAGTTGGCTCCAGCATTTGTTGCTCTTGCAGAGGACCCAGGTTCAGTTCTCCAGCACCCACATGGTGGCTCATGACTGTCTGCAACTCATTCTAGGGCATCTGATGCCCTTTTCTGATCTCCATGTCCACCAGACACATATGCAGACAAAACACACACACACACACACACACACACACACACACACACACACACACACACACAGACACACACACACAGACACACACACACAGACTAAAAAGTTTAGTTGGGTGTGGTGGCAGCATACTCCTTTAATCCCAGCACTCAGGAGGCAGAGGCAGGTAGATCTTTATGAGTTCAAAGTCAGCCTGGTCTACAAGGCGAGTCCAAGATAACCAAGGCTACACAGAGAAACCCTGTTCCGAAAAAACAAAAAGTCATCTCACTGGAGATAACACGAAAGCCAGTAAATTACCACAAAAAGATGCTGTAGGGCTGTGAAGATAGCTCAGGGTAAAGTGCCTGACATCAAAGCATGGCAACCAGAGTTTGGGTACCCAGAAGCCTACATTAGTTGGAGTTGGAGATCTTAAGAGTTTCATGAGAGACCCTACTTCCATAGAGTGAAGAACAATTAAGGACAACTACCAACATCAACTCCAGGCCTTGGCAGGCACAGGCACACACACACACGCCTGCACACACAGATATGCGCACACCGCACACTTGATATCACCCCTTCTGGAAATTACACACAGCACATTATTAGTAATTTAAAATGTAATCCCCATCTCCTCTTGAGGCTTGTTGGAGACAGTCTCACTGTGTAGCCCTGACTGGCCCAGAGCTCACTATGTAGACCAGACTGGCCGCTAACTCACGGGCAATCCTCTGGCCTCTGCCAGAACTAGAGGCATGTGCCACCGCACCCAGCTATGTGCCACCTTAGGTTTCTGATTAGGCTTTATTTGAGTCAAAGTTCAGACAACTCTGGAAGGAAAGTGTGTAGCTTCATAAACACTTGTGCGGGTTCAGGCTATCATAGCTCAGCTGAGTGTACAAAGCATACCTCTAAAGCTTGCTCAGGTCTGTGAGAATCTGTAAATCCCCATCTTCCATGGCAGAGGCTTAATCTCCACAGCCTCAGCAACACAAGATGGCTTCCCTCCACCAGCCCTATCCAAAAAGACAATCCCTAGCTCTGATTTGGGCATACACCAAACTTTTAAGAATCCTCCCTAAGCCAGGTGTGGTGGCTCACTCCTTTAACCCCAGCACTTGGGAGGCAGTGGCAGGCAGATCTCTGAGTTTGAGGCCAGCCTGGTCTACAGAGTAAGTTCTAGGACAGCCAGGGCGACACAGAGAAACCCTCTTTTGAAAACCCAAAACCAAACGAAAAACAAACAAAAGAACCCTCCCTGAAGGGGCCAAGTCAACATACACATACACATACACAGTGCCATCTCCACAGTCCTGGTCCTCATGACAGACGGGTGTGCTGGAGCTACCCCTCAGGCAGCGGTCCAGCAGAAGAGCAGAGCCCTGAAGGCCCAGGGCTACCCTGCTCAGCTGATGGGTGTGCGCCGCTCAGCACGTATGGCCCACCTGTGTCCCACTGAGGACCCTGCTGGCATCAGGACACGAAGATCTTTCTACAAGACTATCCCAAGAACCACAGAGCCGTCAATTGTCCTTGGAGGAAGTGTCTAAATAAGCACAGGTGTGACAAGTCACCTAAAAGCACATCCAAAAGCACCACTCCCCAAGCATACATTCCCAGATACGGCGTGCACCGCCTTCGCCTACAGCACGCTAAACCGTGCTGTGTTTAGAAAGACCATTAGGGTTGTTTTCAGTTTCTAAGTCTTTAACAATGTGCTGCAACGCAGCATAAACTTTCATCAAAATTTTAATTGGAGCTTTACTAAACGTTAACAGGACTGTTTATATACACGTTACGGGAGCCTGAGAGAGATCAGTCTTCGACAACTGAGGGCACACATGGACACCCATCGCTTCGTGTTACCCCAGTGCTGGGTTTGTGTGGTAAATGATGATTTTTAATGAACTCTGAGGATTTGGATGCACCTGGTGTCTGAATGGCAACAATGTCACAGAAATAAAGGGGCATTAAATGGTCCTCTTGACAGGAGGATGGTCCCACAAAGAATTTAACTGATTGACAAATCCAAAGACTCGAGAGCAGTGGGCCCATGGCAGTTCTTACTGTCTTGATAATTTGCATCTAATACTTGTCAGAAGTGATGCTGAAGGGCTGGGGTGCAGCCCAGGGCTCTTCCACTTGAGCTCCTGGATATTCATCTCAGCATTGCCAGTATCGATGTCAGCATAAACACCTGTACGCACACGCACGCACATGCACACACACACCCACCAGTTAGTCATTTTAAATCCAACCCCAATACCCAAAAGAGTACGATTTATCTCGGCTTACCAACATACTATAAATCACTCATTTAGTTCCTATCTGGGTGGGGGTGGGGGGGACAGGGACGCAGTGGAGATTAAGATTACACATGTGCCTCTTATGCCCGTTCTACGATGGTGAGTCGGATGTGAGAGAATTCAAACCTAGGGTTCTAAGATGTTGAAATCCCAAAGCAACATAATCACACTCAACTGCTTCAAATGGAAAGGTACAGATGCGTGCACATAGGCAGCGTTCTTCAGGTTAATAATAATGGCGGCTTCCTACAGCTCCTTTAGAACGACTTCTCCTGACTTGAGATGGCTCAGCACGTTAAGTCAAGGCGCCGGCCACCAAGCCCGACTTGACTTTAATTTTAGCACTTACGTGACTGATGGAGGAGAGGGCTCTCCTGACGTGTCCTCTGACCTCCACATGCACACCAGTAGCAGGAACACACTCTCTCCACCCCAAATTCATTCATTTAGACTTCCTTTCTAAAGGAGGCAGTCTTGAACGCAAGCCACACTAACATGGTACTGATGGTAGCCGAGCCCCATGAGGAAAGTGAGTCTCTAGCAAACATGTGTATGATCCTAGCGGCCCAGGCAGCAGCACAACTTTGATCAATGGTTTTGGTTTTGGTGGCAAGGGCTAGTTTCTTCTCATTTCCTGCCGGATCAGGGTGCTGGGCTTCCTTTGAACCAAACTGCCTAAAACCAAAAATAAGGATCAAACTGGCCAGTAGAAATTAAATTTAAACAAAGCTTTGTGGTTTTGTTTTTGCTTTTAATGAAAAGCAACTAGCCTTTCACAAGCATTCGCAAGAACCACTCAACCACAAAATGCACACATTATTTAGTACCAGGATTGAATAGAGGCCTGTTCACCCTGACTCCACCCGCCTTTGCAGAATAATAAATCTTTTCAAAGCACTGTTTGCCACTAAGTCTAGGTTAGCTCAGTTTAAACCTACTGTTCCCAGAAGTGATGAGTTTAAACAGGCCTGACCCTACTGATGGGCATCTCCCATGTCCTTGCTCATTCAGGATGTATAGGCATCTGTGGGCACCATAAGCAGACAGCACAGCCCCCCCCCCCCGCAAACATACAAACACACACTGTCCTGTCTCCTCTGCCCCGTCCTCTCCCTTGGGGGAGATTTCAACAGCTTCCCTGGACTTAAATACCGACCCGTCAGTCTCAGAGTCTAGGAACCTGTATCTTCCTTTTGTTATCTTGAGACAAAGTCTAAGCATATAGCCTAGGTTATTCTAGAACTCATGATCCTCCTGCCTTGACCTCCAGAATGCTGTCGGTTACAGGTGTGTGCCACCACGCTTGGCTCAGGGATTTGTATTTCTTAAAATCAAGCCAAGAGCTTCTGAGCACAGGCCAAATGCAGGCATCACTGGGACACTAGCAAGAATGGAGGTGTCAGGGACTGTTCCTCAACCCAGAGCAGAGGATGTTCTGTCCTTGGGCCTCAGTCACCTAAGCTGCAAAAGGACAGCTGTGAGTCCTGCCTTTCAGGTCTGAAAGAAAGGCTAGATGCAAGTTAGGTTGATATTTTCAGCTGGCTGGGGGACCGTTTCCAGGGGAAACAAGGTCTGTCCAGAGATGTGGGGTAGGAAGTGAGGGTGCAGATGGCCTGCCTTCTTAGGGGCATGCAGATGGAACACAGGACAGCCAATAACATCACCACAAGGAA